GAGGTACTTACTGAAGAGTATATCGGTAGGTATGTTAGAGGTACTTATTGAAGAGTATATCGGTAGGTATGTTGGAGGTACTTACTGAAGAGTATATCGGTAGGTATGTTGGAGGTACTTACTGAAGAGCATATCGGTAGGTATGTTGGAGGTACTTACTGAAGAGTAAATTAGTAGGTATATTGGAGGTACTTACTGGAGAGTATATCAGTAGGTATATTGGAGGTACTTACTGGAGAGTATATCAGTAGGTGTGTTAGAGGAACTTAACGAAGAGAATATTGGTAGGTATGCTACTTACTGAACAAAACGTCGATTAAGTAAGCTATAGGTACTTCCTGAAGAGAACATTGGTAAGTATGTTAGAGGTACTTACTGAAGAGAATTTTTGTAAGTATGCTAGAGTAACTTAAGACTGGCTACCAGCCTCTAGGTTTTATGAAGAATTACTAGCTTATCTCCCCCTAGTTTAGAACTTCTAGAATCAGACAATCCAAGTGATCAAAATTATTAGAGTTTATTATTTTCTATATGATTCAATATTCTAGAGACGAGGGCCAGTCTAGAGTACCTTAGGTGGCACATAATTACGTTAATTTGTGTCCAGCGGATGTCTTACTTGCATGTCAGGAAATTTAACGATGCTGCGTATTTCAATGTTTTTCTCATGAAATTTCGATCAATTTTTTACACTTGTGAGTTCACGTTGCGGTATATTTTCTGTTTCAGTTATCAACTGACGATTAAAAGACAATCCATTATGAAGTTATGTATTGCCGTCTTGCTGTTATGTGGAGTACACGTTGTGTTCAGTTGTTCCTGTGCACCGTCAATAGGCCATCCCCAGAACTTCTTCTGCAATAGCGATGCTGGTAAGTCCATCAATCTCCCACGGTAGCAGGTTAGCCAGTTACAGCGTATATATATACATGTCTATAAACCTACTCCTGTTAATTTTTGTTTGTTAGTCTTTATTCAATACTTTTATAGTTTGTTCTTTTTCAGATTTTAAAACTGCAATTTAACTAATAACAAATATATAACACAAATAAACTTTTCAGACGCTAACTTACATGAACATTACATAATCGAGTGTACATTATTTGAATCTTAATTATCATATAATTTGATATTTCAGACTTTACTCTAACTTTCTTCGATTTCCAAGCTAGAGCAAATCTAATCACTGTATAATGGAAATGATTGTATATAGAACGATACACTGAAAGATGACACTGGATAATAAGTTCAATAACTTTGGCTTTACTCGAGAAAAAGGTGTGCATATTATAAAAACGAAACAAAAACCGTGCAAGTTTAAGTACTAATTTGATTTAAGTAGCTTTAAAACGTTGAAAGTTCACATATAACTATAATATGTATTGTATCCATTTTGAAAATGCTTTGATTCGTCATTCTCAAACAATGAGATCCACGGGTCGTCAAGCTTTGAAAAGTTCTATTCTATTTAGGCCCATTTGTGTCCGGCAATTACTCTAGTCCAGTTTTCATCTACTGTATACCAAGAAATGTTCGTTTTGTATAAACATTCGTGGTTTTCGTGGTTGCTATGGAACCACAAAAATAAATACAACGAAATTAATTGACATAAGTGATGACTCCTTGTTTAAATATGGAATATCTATGACAGTTTGTACCACGAAACGATCTAAATAGCTTCAAATCACGAAGAAAAGTACGCACGAACATTTCATGCCATACAGTATACGGAAAGACAATAGGACGGCAGTTATCTTTGACAACTTCGGTAACTGATTTGAGCGTTCAGGGTAGTGTTTTCATTGATCAATGAAATACGCTGTTTCATAAATCAAATATTGTTTCAAAGCAGGGAATCACACAATGCAAATAATTATAATTGCATAATAATAAGATAAAATGTTCGTGAAAGTCAAACAAGTTATAATAAATATGCATGTTGCACATGGATCCAATAGTCTGAATATATATATAAATATATAAAAAATATCATTTTATAGATACACTTTAACCACTATTTGCATGTAAATCTCGTGTTCAATATATAACAATAAACTTCCTTTTCTAGATGTTTCGGTTGAAAAAACAAACGGAAATATATCTAGATTTGTATTGCAAATCCTATAACTGATTCCCATAACTATCTTGATTTTCATTCCATTTATACAACCCAAACATATGTAACTCATCTTTTGGTTTTGCGTCTTGATTAGTAACCACAGTCAGCGATAAATAAAAATTAGCGGAGCGATTAAAAGATTTAGTGCATAGTCTCAGAAACAATGCTATCGAAATTATTTTTGAACGGTATTAAAAGAGTAAAAGAGAAGGTTCCGAATGTAGGTAACGATCCGAAGAATACCAAAGCAATAAAAAAGACATTGTATCGTTTATTACTATATTCAACCCTAACAACGTTTAGATGTTTCCAATTATGAATATCCAAGAAGATTAGAATAAGGATAAAATGAAACGTGTTTTGGAAAAGAAGAAAACAATTCACTACAAAAGACAACGAAAGAATCTTAAACTTTTACGGTGTAAGTCAAAATTTGATGGCAAAATGAATGTAAATTATAGCGTGACAAAGTAAATGAAACTGAGATGGGGAACATATATCATGATTTGTTTTCAAGAATTGCAAAACGTTTGAAATAAATTGTAATATGTAGTTTACTTCAATTAAACTGGAAATGTACTACGTCAAAGATTGACAGCCCATTGCCAACAAACTAAAACTAAGGGTTTACGAAATGTATTTGATGCATTTAACGTAAGTACATTCATTGTAATCATTTTACAACGTCGCAATTGATAGCCCTTCGCATGCCTTGTACTGTGTTTATGGCGTCATTAATTTTGACGTACTCGTATATGAACTGTATTACCAAGATGGGCAAAACAACTTCCGGAGTAACAGGATACTGTCTCAAGTGTTTTGTTCTTAATTCTATATATAGATAACAGTATTGCAAACATAACAGAGCATGTGGCGGCAAGTGTGTTTCAAAAATTACATCAAAATTCGGCGATACAAATTACGAAATTATCTCAACAACATGTCATTAGCACTTTCGTCTCATCAAGGAGATTCCTCAGACTGTTTATTTAAAGGGAAAATGATGACGTCATAAACTATGACGTCACATAATAGTTCGCTATATCGATGTCCGCTATGCGTATTCGCCATAGCAATGTCATAGCAATAAGAATACATAATAATAGTCTTATGGTAATGAGCATCGTCAATTTAGGATTTAGTATTACTATCAGTAGTTTTATTATATATGTATTTAAAGTTATCTAATTTAAAGTAAACGAAAAATATTTATGACAAAATAGTATTTTTTTGTAAAGTAACAAATAGAATTCTTCTATAGAAGGGCGGATCGGTAGCGTGGTTAAACTTCAGCCTTCCATGCAGGCGGCCGGGGTTCGATCCCCGAAGTCGTAGCATGCATGGAATATGAGAGAAAGCGTTTTTGCTCCTGCCCACACAACTCTAACAACCCAGTTGGAGTATAAAATGGTCTGGGGTGGATGTTGCGGTATCTGTGATGTAGCATTCAAGTGAGGTGGCACTATTAAAAAAAAGCCGTTGGAAGCATGGTCCCACTACAAACAGAACACAATACATCTCCAGTACACACGCAGGCATACACACATGGGAGATATTAGCCAGGTGGCATAGGACTAGTAGTTAGCGCCTGATAATGCAGCTCCTGCGAATTCCTCAAAAACTGTTTATACTAATTGTATTGATTGCATATTCTATGTAATGTAAAGCCCTTTAGAGTGACTTATGTTAGATAGATAGGGCGCTATATCAAATGTTGTATATATTATTATAGACAGAGGTAAAAGAGATGAAAAAAACATCTGATAAGAATTCGCGTATGTACATTCTTTCATGTGCAGAGGTACTCTCTACATTTGCTATACATGAAGTAAGATCATTATAAAACATAAGTATTTATATGATCATTGTTATATATGTGTAATAAACATTCAAATGCTTTCAAATTGAAGAAAGTATTATTGAATTTTGAGACTTTGATATTTCAATACATTACTTTATTTAGATCCTGTCGCCATATGTGCACAGTACGACTTGTGGATAAAAGGATTTCAATACATGCCATTGCATGGCTATAAGCTACTTAATAAAAAAACATAAAAAATGAGAATGTTTATAAGTACAAAGACACAAGAATACCTTAGTACATCTGTGACTGTCGTGACATATGTAACTAATGTTTGAGTTTCAGGAACCGATTTCAAAGCCACGCGTGCTTATATTTTATCTTATTCTTTTATTTTTAAGGTTAAAATACTTTATTTTCCAGTTTCACAGTTTTGAAGGATTACGCCCTATATTAAGTCGTCTTACAAAACTGCTCATTCTCAGGAGGGTATTAGTTCTCAATCCGTTATCCAATACGTATTTTTATGTTGATGAAATATTTATTATAATCTTTTCTTTCTTATTTTATGCCATTTTTCTGTTCACCATCTAGTAACTATATGCTGGATTCATGGTTTCCCTTCCAGAAGATATATATATTCATAGTGTTAACAGCCCAGGTTCAATACATTGCAATTAAACTTTCGACTATACTGTAAGCATAATTTCATTTCGAGGGTGAAACTATTGAACAAAATCAATTTTATGACTTACATTTATCGACAATCTTTTTTTTTTTGCAGTTTTCATTGGGAAAGTAAAAAAGGTCACTAAACCGGACACACAATTTGAAAATATCGTATACGTCGTCAAGGTGAAGAAGTCATTTAAAGTAAGTATAATTTAGTAGAACAAAACTCATCAATGGTTTATGTAAAGCGGAAGTTATCTAACTTTATTTCGTAGTCCGTATCAGCATATCAGGGGGCGTGGCTAGCCTTTGTTCGGAATGGATTCACTTAGGACCAGGTCCAGGGCAGGATCGTGGTAGGGGACAAGAGGGTCAACAAGAATTGCGTATAGGTAGCCACGCAGCCGCCTTTATATGTCTTTATTTATTTTATTTTTTTCGGGATAAAATGGCATGTGATAAACTATCTGAGATGCTGTCTTTGGCTTAAAAACATAAACTTAAGGACACCATAACAGTTAAGTATATCATATCATTAACAGTTTATAATATTGTTTATCATATCTCAACCAGTAGCAGCTACTTTTATAATATAACTAACAGTTTATTGTCACCATATCTTTACCCGTTTCTGGTCATGTTTGTATCTTATAACTAACAGTTTGTTGTTACCATACCTTTACCTGTTTCTGGTCATGTTTATATCTTATAACTAACAGTTTATTGTTACCATACCTTTACCTGTTTCTGATCGTGCTTATCTTATAACTAACAGTTAATTGTTATCATACCTTTACCCGTTTCTGGTCATGTTTGCATCTTATAACTAACAGTTTATTGTTACCATACCTTTACCTGTTGCTGGTCATGTTTGTATCTTATAACTTACAGTTTATTGTAACCATACCTTTACCCGTTTTTGGTCATGTTTATATCTTATAACTAACAGTTTATTGTTACCATACCTTTACCCGTTTCTGGTCATGTTTGCATCTTATAACTAACAGTTTGTTGTTACCATACCTTTACCTTTTCTGGTCATGTTTATATCTTATAACTGACAGTTTTTTTGTTACCATACCTTTACCTGTTTCTGGTCATGTTTATATCTTATAACTGACAGTTTTTTTGTTACCATACCTTTACCTGTTTCTGGTCATGTTTGTATCTTATAACTAACAGTTTATTGTTACCATTCCTTTACCTGTTTCTGGTCATGTTTGTATCTTATAACTAACAGTGTATTGTTATCATACCTTAACCTGTTTCTGATCGTGCTTATCTTATAACTGACAGTTTATTGTTACCATTCCTTTACCTGTTTCTGGTCATGTTTATATCTTATAACTAACAGTTTATTGTTACCATTCCTTTACCTGTTTCTGGTCATGTTTGTATCTTATAACTAACAGTTTATTGTTATTATACCTTTACCTGTTTCTGGTCATGTTTATATCTTATAACTAACAGTTTATTGTTTACATACCTTTACCTGTTTCTGATCCTGCTTATCTTATAACTAACGGTTTGTGATCCTTGTAGCTATATCAAAAATAGTTCATATTTATCATATCACTAACACTAATAGTATCAGAATAGTAACATTTTTTGATGACGTTCCTCATCCTACTTACAGTTTATGATCGTCTCAACATATTATTAACGGTTTGTGTGCATGTTTATCATACTACTAACAGTTTATGTTTAACACATACCTTACAGTTAACTATTCTGATTGCCATATAACTAAACGTTTATGATCCTGTTATTTATATCACTAATATTTTAGTATCCTGTTTGTCATATAACAAACGGTTTGTGATTCTATTGATCATGTTACAAACAGTATATCTTAATCATACAAATATCGCATTATGATCCTGTTTATCATATAACTAACAGTTTGTGATCATGTTTATAATATTCTTAACAGTATGTAATCCTGTTTATTATATTACTAACAGTTTGTGGTCCTGTTTATTATATTACTTACAGTGTGTGATCCTGTTTATTATGTAACTAACAGTATATGATCCTGTTTATTATATAACTAACAGTGTGTGATCATGTTTTTAATATTACAAACAGTTTGTGATCCTATTTATAATATAACTAACAGTGTGTGATTCTGTTTATAATATAACCAACAGTGTGTGATCATGTTTATAATATTAATAACAGTGTGTGATTCTGTTTATTATATAACCAACAGTGTGTGATCATGTTTATAATATTACTAACAGTTTGTGATCCTATTTATAATATAACTAACAGTTTTTGATCCTGTTTATAATATTACTAACGGTGTGTGATCCTGTTTATAATATTACTAACAGTGTGTGATCATGTGTATAATATAACTAACAGTGTGATCTTTTTTTATAATATTCTTAACAGTATGTAATCCTGTTTATTATATTACTTACAGTTTGTGGTTCTGTTTATTATATTACTGACAGTGTGTGATCCTGTTTATTATATAACTAACAGTGTGTGATCCTGTTTATTATATAACTACCAGTGTGTGATCCTGTTTATCATATAACTAACAGTGTGTGATCATGTTTATAATATTACTAACAGTGTGTGATTCTGTTTATCATTGACTAACAGTGTGTGACCATGTTTATAATATAACTAACAGTGTGTGATTCTGTTTATAATATAACCAACAGTGTGTGATCATGTTTATAATATTAATAACAGTGTGTGATTCTGTTTATTATATAACCAACAGTGTGTGATCATGTTTATAATATTAATAACAGTGTGTGATTCTGTTTATTATATAACCAACAGTGTGTGATCATGTTTATAATATTACTAACAGTTTGTGATCCTATTTATAATATAACTAACAGTTTTTGATCCTGTTTATAATATTACTAACAGGGTGTGATCCTGTGTATAATATAACTAACAGTGTGATCTTGTTTATAATATCTTAACAGTATGTAATCCTGTTTATTATATTGCTTACAGTTTGTGGTTCTGTTTATTATATTACTGACAGTGTGTGATCCTGTTTATTATATAACTACCAGTGTGTGATCCTGTTTATCATATAACTAACAGTGTGTGATCATGTTTATAATATAACAAACAGTGTGTGATCCTTTTTATCATATAACTAACAGTGTGTGATCCTGTTTATAATATTACTAACAGTGTGTGATTCTGTTTATCATTGACTAACAGTGTGTGATCATGTGTATAATATAACTAACAGTGTGATCTTGTTTATAATATCTTAACAGTATGTAATCCTGTTTATTATATTACTAACAGTTTGTGGTCCTGTTTATTATATTACTTACAGTGTGTGATCCTGTTTATTATTTAACTAACAGTATATGATCCTGTTTATTATATAACTAACAGTGTGTGATCCTGTTTATTATATAACTAACAGTGTGTGATCCTGTTTATTATATAACTAACAGTGTGTGATCCTGTTTATTATATAACTACCAGTGTGTGATCATGTTTATCATAGAACTAACAGTGTGTGATCCTGTTTATTATATAACTACCAGTGTGTGATCCTGTTTATCATATAACTAACAGTGTGTGATCATGTTTATAATATTACTAACAGTGTGTGATTCTGTTTATCATATAACTAACAGTTTGTGATCCTGTTTATAATATAACTAACAGTGTGTGATTCTGTTTATAATATAACCAACAGTGTGTGATCATGTTTATAATATTACTAACAGTGTGTGATTCTGTTTATAATATTACTAACAGTGTGTGATCATGTGTATAATATAACTAACAGTGTGATCTTGTTTATAATATTATTAACAGTATTTACTCCTGTTTATTATATTACTAACAGTGTGTGATCCGGTTTATGATATTACTCAAAGTTTGTGATCCTGTTTATGATATTACTAACAGTGTGCGAACATGTTTATAATATAACTAACAGTGTGTGATTCTGTTTATAATATAACCAACAGTGTGTGATCATGTTTATAATATTACTAACAGTTTGTGATCCTGTTTATGATATTACTAACAGTGTGCGATCATGTTTATAATATAACTAACAGTGTGTGATCCTTTTTATCATATAACTAACAGTGTGTGATCCTGTTTATAATATTACTTACAGTGTGTGATCCTGTTTATAATATTACTAACAGTGTGTGATCCTGTTTATCATATAACTAACAGTGTGTGATCATGTTTATAATATAACTAACAGTGTGTGATACGGTTTATAATATTACTAACAGTTTGTGATCCTGTTTATGATATTACTAACAGTGTGTGATCCTGTTTATGACATAACTAACAGTTTGTGATCCTGTTAATAATATTACTAACAGTGTGTGATCCTGTTTATAATATTACTTACAGTGTGTGATCCTGTTTATAATATTACTAACAGTGTGTGATCCTGTGTATAATATAACTAACAGTGTGATCTTGTTTATAATATTATTAACAGTATTTACTCCTGTTTATTATATTACTAACAGTGTGTGATCCGGTTTATGATATTACTAACAGTTTGTGATCCTGTTTATGATATTACTAACAGTGTGCGATCATGTTTATAATATAACTAACAGTGTGTGATCCGGTTTATAATATTACTAACAGTGTGTGATCCTGTTTATAATATTACTAACAGTGTGTGATCATGTGTATAATATAACTAACAGTGTGATCTTGTTTATAATATTATTAACAGTATTTACTCCTGTTTATTATATTACTAACAGTGTGTGATCCGGTTTATAATATTACTAACAGTGTGTGATCCTGTGTATAATATAACTAACAGTGTGATCTTGTTTATAATATTATTAACAGTATTTACTCCTGTTTATTATATTACTAACAGTGTGTGATCCGGTTTATGATATTACTAACAGTTTGTGATCCTGTTTATGATATTACTAACAGTGTGTGATCCTGTTTATGACATACCTAACAGTGTGTGATCCTGTTAATAATATTACTAACAGTGTGTGATCCTGTTTATAATATTACTAACAGTGTGTGATCCTGTGTATAATATAACTAACAGTGTGATCTAGTTTATAATATTATTAACAGTATGTAATCCTGTTTATTATATTACTTACAGTTTGTGGTTCTGTTTATTATATTACTTACAGTTTGTGGTTCTGTTTATTATATTACTTACAGTTTGTGGTTCTGTTTATTATATTACTGACAGTGTGTGATCCTGTTTATTATATAACTAACAGTATGTGATCCTGTTTATTATATAACTAACAGTGTGTGATTCTGTTTATCATATAACTAACAGTTTGTGATCATGTTTATAATATTACTAACAGTGTGTGATTCTGTTTATAATATTACTAACAGTGTGTGATCAATGTTTATAATATTAATAACAGTGTGTGATCCGGTTTATAATATTACTAACAGTGTGTGATCCTGTGTATAATATAACTAACAGTGTGATCTTGTTTATAATATTATTAACAGTATTTACTCCTGTTTATTATATTACTAACAGTGTGTGATCCGGTTTATGATATTACTAACAGTTTGTGATCCTGTTTATGATATTACTAACAGTGTGTGATCCTGTTTATGACATAACTAACAGTGTGTGATCCTGTTAATAATATTACTAACAGTGTGTGATCCTGTTTATCATAAAACTAACAGTTTGTGATCCTGTTTATAATATAACTAACAGTGTGTGATCCTGTTTATGATATTACTATCAGTGTGTGATCCTGTAATATTAATAACAGTTTATAATTCTGTTTATTATATTACTTAAAAGTTTATGTTCATCATATTTCGTTCCTTTTTCTTATGACGTTCATCCTACTAATAGGTTGTGATATTTTTAACAATTGCTTACATTTTGTTATACTGTTTATCAGTTCACTATCAATGTATTTTAATACTTGTATAATATCCAATTGTTAATGTTTCATATAGTATCTTAACAATTCTTTAATATCGAATAGCGTTTGTAGTTTTGGTTGTTGAAAACTCTGAATTGCTAACACAATCCTCGAGAAGACAGCACCTATTGCGATTGCCTTCTTTGGAAAGTATTGAACAATTTTCTTCACAAAGGTTCCTCTATAAAGATAGATGTGTATGTGTCTAAATACAGGTATCGACCTAAGTTAAAGGCTACAATTGTTTTATTATTTTCAAAACACTTATTTCAACAATCTGAAAAATAAACACGGCAAAAAATCTACGGAAGCGGGACGATTTTTAGAACACCAAATCCAAAAATCACGCGCTCCAAGTCAATATCTGTTTTTATCAGTAGACACGTGATACACGTCTAGCCAATCACTTGTCGGGAATAACATAACAAATAATAATGACTGGCATTTTTATTATAATCTTCCAGTGCTGAAATGAGTTCACTGACTTGTGGTTCCTGATACATCAGTGTTAATTGACATTAAACGTATTGATTCATCATTGTTTGATTACTGTTAAAGCGAGTATACGTCTGTGATTATTGACAGGGAAACTGTAAGGGCGAAGTAACAGTCACCAGCGTTAACTCCGAAGGTACATGTGGCATCACTTACTTGGAAAAAAGGAAAACGTACCTGCTGACAGGTAACATTTTAAGATTGACGTATTAAAATTATATTTGCCATTTTTGTAACACGACACTAAAAAAACCTGCCGACTGTATGAAACATGGAGATACAAAACCTGATGACAGAAAATGCATAACCTTTAAAAGTTAAAATGTATTACCGGTAAGCCTAGCCGATGAAACGAAACGTATTATACATTTTGGTAAGCCTAAAATTGAAATTTCAAAAGCTGATGAAAGTTAACCTGTATTCATTTTTGGGTAAGCCTATATTCTTTAAAGTGAAGAGGTGACAGTAGGAATGTATTCAACATTGGACTGTAGTATTATAATGTAACGAGGAGTCCTTATCTTACCTGTTGTTCTGTCTTTAAATACAATTCTATTTTAGATTTCAAATGACTAGGTACATATAAACTAAGTCGAAGGTATATCCATTCCAAGTCTGAAATAACAACTAAACAAGGAAATGTGTCTCATATATTTACCATTTATATTAATAAACCAACTAGATTGAATAAACTTAAATGCAATCAACCATGCCAATTCGATATACCAGTTAGATTTATTGAACATTTTGGATTTGATATAAAAAATTGTTTAATCAATCCACAGTTTTTTATATATAAAAATAGCTATGCCTCGAGGCATGTTATACGTTATTCTCGAGTTAATTTAACCATGTTTAACAAAAATAGTAGCTCACCCATTGCTAGCAGACTTATCACAAATCAACGTAAAACTATCTTTATTATCAAATAAAATAATACTTACTTATTGTTTGAAACATAATCTATCATATCGTGCATCGTTATACCCCTACAGTGGTTTCCATTAGCATTTATCATAACTCGTATATACACTGCCATAGCAATGTTATTGTAATTATGATGTAGTTGAGGACTCAAGCATAAAATTGTGGAATTTTAAGCTTTAGTATTTTAGACGAGGTAAAGGTCTATATAGTCACTTATTTGTTGGTGATATTGTATTAGAATTTTCGACACCGTGTTCAACATATCTTTACACGTCGATTGTCCTTTATTAACTTTATTTGCAGCCAATAGCGGAGGTAACGGTACATACTCGATAGGGATATGTAGTAGTCGTGTCATAGAGAAGGAGGACATTACACAGAAAATCAAGAAATCATACAATATCAATAAGGCAACAAGCTTCCCCGGGATGAACGAAATCAACTGCGATGAATGTAAGGTAAGCTTCCACGGGAAGAACGAAACCAACTGCGATAAATGTAAGGTAAGCTTCCTCGAGAAGAACGAAGTCAACTGCGATAAATGTAAGGTAAGCTTCCCCGAGAAGGACGAAATCAACTGCGATACATGTAAGGTAAGCTTCCCGGGGAAGGACGAAATCAACTGCGATACATGTAAGGTAAGCTTCCCGGGGAAGGACGAAATCAACTGCGATACATGTAAGGTAAGCTTCCACGGGAAGGACGAAATCAACTGCGATACATGTAAGGTAAGCTTCCCGGGGAAGGACGAAATCAACTGCGATACATGTAAGGTAAGCTTCCCGGGGAAGAACGAAATTAACTGCGATAAATGTAAGGTAAGCTTCCCCGCGAAGGACGAAATCAACTGCGATAAATGTAAGGTAAGCTTCCACGGGAAGGACGAAATCAACTGCGGTAAATGTAAGGTAAGCTTCCACGGGAAGAACGAAATCAACTGCGATAAATGTAAGGTCAGTTTCCACGGGAAGAACGAAACCAACTGCCATAAATGTAGGGTAAGCTTCCTCGAGAAGAACGAAGTCAACTGCGATAAATGTAAGGTAAGCTTCCACGTGAAGGACGAAGTCAACTGCGATAAATGTAAGGTAAGCTTCCGCGGGAAGGACGAAGTCAACTGCGATAAATGTAAGGTAAGCTTCCCCGGGAAGAACGAAATTAACTGCGATAAATGTAAGGTAAGCTTCCGCGGGAAGGACGAAGTCAACTGCGATAAATGTAAGGTAAGCTTCCCCGGGAAGGACGAAATCAACTGCGATAAATGTAAGGTAAGCTTCCCCGGGAAGGACGAAGTCAACTGCGATAAATGTAAGGCAAGCTTCCCCGAGAAGGACGAAGTCAACTGCGATAAATGTAAGGTAAGCTTCCTCGTGAAGGACGAAGTCAACTGCGATAAATGTAAGGCAAGCTTCCCCGAGAAGGACGAAGTCAACTGCGATAAATGTAAGGCAAGCTTCCCCGGGAAGGACGAAATTAACTGCGATAAATGTAAGGTAAGCTTCCACGTGAAGGACGAAGTCAACTGCGATAAATGTAAGGCAAGCTTCCCCGAGAAGGACGAAGTCAACTGCGATAAATGTCAGGTAAGCTTCCTCGGAAAGAACGGAATCAACTGCGATAAATGTCAGGTATTTTGTCAATTGGTTTCTATGAGTTTGGGGCCACGGTGGCCAAGTGGTTTAGGCGTCTGACCAAATCCATGATTGTGTTCTACAAATTCTCTAAAAAATTGAGAAAGATCTGTGGTTTAGCTTTTGAAAAAAAAGAGAGCAATTTTCACAAGGGTTAACATACTTGCACTACTAAGATCCATGTGGAATTTTGAACATGGTTAATGAAGTAGCAATAACACGGGATGTAGTCGTTTAGCAATCATCCTGTTTCTTCAGTTAGTACCAAAATAAGTAAACACCAACATTAATGTACTTGTGAAGTATGAACGAGATCCCTCCACTACTTGAGAAATTGCAATCATATTATGATATAATACATTATATAACATAAATGATATCTAATAGATAAGTTATCAACTATTTTATATATTTTATGAGGACCAATTGCTTATGTAGTTGTAGATTTCGTTAAGGTTCAAGAAGCCCCATAAAAGATGCAATAGTGACCCTAAATTTCAACCCCCTGGGAAGTCATATTCAAATATCCTTATCAAAACTCGAAATATAGATATGTAATTAAAATTTATTGAACTTATATATGAGCTATTAAAAAGGTACATAACCAGGTTAACGAAGTCAAAATACGTCATTAAGGCTGATGTAATGATAAAAGTTGCTCATCAGATTTATAAGATGTCAATTTCTTAAGCGACCCAATTGCATGCTACGAAACAACATGTTATTTGAAGATCATTTATATATACCTAGGTCATGCGGGCTTTATTTCTCTTTAACTATGTGTGGAGAGGTATACCGGTCTCACAAAAAGATGATTGTTGCAATGGGAATGTACAAAAGTCATAGTAAAACGTCCGCTTAACCAGTATATATGTTTAAACTATAGACCTTTGACCATAAACACTACTTAAACTTCATATAAAATGTCCTTTCTTAGCATTCAATGTTGTTATTAAAGAGCTAGACTTGTTATAAACATTATCGTACCTTTCCGCCTCAGTGTTTATATTATGTCTAGCGCATTCAAAACATCACGGATTGTTATCACAATGGCACTTCATCTAAAGTGCATTTATCGATCAAGGTTACTAGGCATTTGTTTTCTTATTGATCATTTGCTAAAGTGTATTACCAGGGGATTTTACTATGATTTCAGTGGTTTCGCATGGCAACATCTATCTTTATTTGAGGTCGAAATTCCTCTCAACTGCTAGTAGAAGAGAAATAAAGCTCCGCATGACATAGGAACATAAATAAACTGTAAATTATGGGTCATTTCTCAGCTCTCAGTTAGGTGGCAAAAGAGATTGACAAGTTATAAGTTCAGGGAGCTATTTTTATGAAGACATTAGCATTAATGCCTTATTTTTGACTACGTTAACCTGGCTATGTATACTTTGTATAGACAACGTACAAATTCAATATATACAAATAACTCATATAAGTTTTTAATTGAGGTCTTTGAACATGACTTATCAGGGGGTTGAAATTTTAGTTGACTACAGCATCTTTAAGGGAGCTTGTTGAATCTTAATTAATTATACAGTGAATGAAAAAATATTAAGGCATCGAAACAAAGCTCTAATGAGCTTTCCAGTGATGGAAGTTATTGTGAATACTGTGAATATGTAAAGGGAAAAAAAGATATAATGACCAACTTAAAAACCATCAGATTTCACCCTTCACAGACCCCGTTAGGTTTATTTCAAAAATGCAACGTCATGCCCCAAAATTACTCAAGAGTCGTCATGGAGCAGGGATCAAGCAAATCATTGACAGAACTGTAGCATAACAAAAATCAAGAGACAAGTGTTAGTAGTCGAGTTGTATGACAGATATTGTTGCTATAGTGATCGAGTACTCGCAGAAAATGTAAATTTATATGCATACATATCTTTGATTACCATTTCAGATCCAGTACTGTGGGGAAAACGGGAACTGTGGCATTATTGCGCCTCCATCTACTACCTGCACGTACTTCGGTGATCTTGAAAAAGTAAAATGTTACAACAAGCTGCGGTGTATACCCTCCGCGTCAGGAAATTCGTGCAGATGGTCAGCCTCTAACTGTGGCGGTCCAGGCAGCATTACAAGTGGCTAACACATTGCTTGTGCCTTTGTATGGTAAATAAAAATAGTTACGTACCAACAAAAGACGTGTTATTGTTGATGTTGTTGTTGCTGTTGTTGTCTAATACTGCCGATGAAATGATTAGAAGTATTTTGGATGATAACCACAGTCCGCGTATTTAAGTTACTGCAAAATATGTCAAGCGATGTCAGCAGAACATGTAATCTAAGAAAATGTCATTTAATTGGCGTAATTTGTTCAACTAAGTATACCAGAGCCATTTAATAAATTATGTCACCAAACAGCTCCCGTACGAACGGGCAATACAATAGTTTGGCGCCTTGACAGATTGCCAAAGCTTTTAAAGAACAAGAGTGCAGCATTTCGACATCAACCGACAAGAATTGAAGAAGTTATACATTGTCCAACGGTATGCACGCGTAACTAGTGGCTAATTTTCAATGCGAACATGAAGGTTGAGACGAATTCTGAAGTACACTCCTATATTAAAGTGTGCGTGCACAGTGTGCGTTACATATACTGCCAAAACAGATATGCCGTCACACTGAGAGCTGTTTCCTAGTCGGTAACCAAATTCAAGAACGGTAAAGTTGACATCAAAGAGGACACACAGCCAGGTATGATAGTTGTTACATCATCAAAGATGAGCATTGCTGCTGTGAAAGCAATAATTAAGGATGATGGTCGTTATACTGTTTCTGAGATTGCCCCTATTCTAACTAAGTGCTTGAAATTAAAGAAGACTTGTACCCGATGGATACACCATTTGCTGACATCTGAACAACATACTAAACGTTTGAAATGTGACAAAGACATACTGAAAAATACGGTAATAGTGAGTCTCAAGAAAGCTATCCGAGTTACTTACAGGGGACGAGACCTGGGTGTATTACTTTGAACCCCAGAGGCGCATTATTAACCAGCAATGGGTGTCTAGAAATCAAGCAAGACCAGTGAGTGTAAGACGCATAAAGGCGTCAAAAGAATTTTGTATGCCATTTTTTTCAATTCCTGTGGGCCTGTGGTCCAGATTCCACGTAATCTTCTTTAATACCAAACACCTGGTAAGAATTGTATGTGTACTGCCTTCTGAATTGCCAACTATTTGAGCTATCTCAGAAACAGTATAACGACCATCATCCTTAATGATGCAACAACTGACCTGCGTCGTCTCTGGTGTCAACTTTACCATTCTTGAATTTGTTCATCCACCAGAAAACTGCTCTCGTGGTGACGGCAGATGTACATCTTATGCTGCACAACTCTGCATGTATCTATTTTGGCAGTATCTGTGCTTTAATATGGAAGCATACTTCAGATTTAGTCTCAACCTTCATTTTGAATGAATAATTTTTCAATTCTTGTTGGATGAAGTCGAAATTTTGCGCTCTTGTTCTTTTAATGCTTGTACAGTCAGCCACGGCGCTAATCTATTTCATTGTCCGCTTGTATGGGAGCTGTGTGGTAACATAATCTATTAAGTGGCCCTCGTAAACGCTTGCTTCCTATACGATGTCCTCGTGTTATGCCCGGACATACCAAAGTCCTTAACAAGAGGCCCAGAGGGCATGTATCGCTCACCTGTTTCTTTTGTTACATGGCTCTGACACATAGGTAACTTCAGACCAAGTATCATGACTCTAGACCAAATGCTTCTTAGGATACCGTTGTTTGCAGATTTTAACATATTTGACTCCTGTGACCTTGAAAATAGGTCAAGGTCATACAAATTATAGCCCTCCATCCCTGGTACCTACTGGCGAAATAGCATGACACTGGGCCTTATGGAACTTGGGAAGAAGATTGTTAAAGCTTTTAACTCATGTTATTTTTTAACCCCAACTAGCACTTAAAGTTGACTTTTGACCTCATTACTGTTACAAAGAAAAAATGTTTGCACTGCTGGTCTTCATAACTTACCCAAGTATCATGGCTCTAGTCCAAATGGTTCTTATGATATTGTTGTTTGAAGTTTTAACAAATTTGACCCCCGTGACCTTGAAAGTAGGTCAAGGTCATTTAAACGAGGGAACTTTATAGCACTCTATCCCAGGTACCTACTGGACAAATATCATGACCCTGGGCCTTATGGAACTTGTGAAGAAGATTGTTAAAGCTTTTAACCCATGTTGACGTTTTACCCCCGACTAGCACTTAAAGTTGACCTTTGAACTCCTTACTATAATTAAGAAAAAGATTCGCACTGCTGGTCTACATAACATACCCTGCTTGTCTACATAACAAACCCTAATATCATGACTCTAGTCCAAATGGTTCTTAGGATATTGTTGTTTGAAGTTTTTAACATATTTGACCCCTGTGACCTAGAAAGTAGGTCAAGGTCATTTTAATGAGGAGCTTTATAGCCCAAATATCATGACCCTAGGTCCTCCAGTTCTTCAGAAGAAGTCGTTAAAAAGAAAAAGTTGACGGACGAACGATGGACGACGGACGCCGCAGTACAGCAGAAGCTCACATGGCCCTTTGGGTAAGGTGAGCTAAAATTGTTAGTTGTTATTCCTTGCTTAATGTTCAGCATTTAGGGGAATGGCAACAACTGGTTCATCCGTTGTCAGTATAATGTGAACAGGCGGAATGCTGTGCTGGGTGCCTTCGGCATGGTTTTTAAGTTAGATATAACTATAAAGTCGGTATCAGATCCACGCTATCACAGGGAGGCAAGCACACCAACATACACTGTCTCCTGCACACACGCAAGCACGAATATACTTCACACATGGAGACACGTCCTTAAATGACCTTAACTGTTAATAGGACGTTAAACAAAATGAAACCAAACCAAATCCTCGTGTTTGGCTACGCGAGAGGAGATTCGTTAACATGACATTGATCCTTTTGTGTTCATGGTCTAATTTAAATATATATACATTTTGTATTTTCTATAGTGTGTTCTGCTTAAAATAGCAATAGTATATTTAGACACACTTACCATGGTATCAATAAGTGGTACAACACCAAATGTCAAAACTTTTCAAAGTGACCGGCTTTCTAATGTACAGAATCAGGTCACAAAATTAACTCGTACATTTGTAACCAGTTAGCTAAAGATAAACAAGAGAGATTATTGCTTTCTGGCAGCCATCTTTGCCTTCTGATCAAGCTCAGACAATACGACTACTGAATTTTAGAGAAATAACCCGAGTAATTTCTGGGAAACAATTCTAAAATCTTAAACTTTCAAAATCCAAGATGGCCAAATAGTTCTTGCGAACAGGGCCAAAACTGAATTTTGCACACCTACAAGGACCAAGGAGAGCCTACATTTGAGTTTTTAAGAAGAGTATTTTCTTCTCTCATTCCAATGACCAAAATGAGCGCAGAAACCACAAAAAGCGTCGTAAATTGCATATCGCAATGTTCCCTATTTCGTGATGTCACTCCATTTTTTTCCCCTATTGTGACATCACATCAAGGAATTGGGTGCAGTATAGAATTTGTTTTACATACATTTCTTACCTTGGACAGTTATCTCACATGCGCACAGGAATTAGAAAGATTCGTCCGTTCTTGAAAAATAATGATGACGTGAATTGCTAAAAGAGGGATTACAGATCATGGACAAAAGTAGCTTGAACAACACATCATCTAATGATAGGAGATTTATATAATTAAGAATAAGAAATCTAGGATATTTGGTGGAATTTTGTAGAATTAATACGTCTGGAAATTTTGGTTACGTATATTGGATAACAAGAGATCCCATAGGAATCATTACGCCAACCATGATCGTTAGATCTTCATCAGTTCCGAGCAAGTTTGATCTGTCAACACTTACAGTAATTGTATCTTGTGGTAACTTTTATCAAAACTTCACACAACTTGGTTTGACCATGTCCTTGTTCGAAGTTAGGTCTTCGTTTGACCTATTAGATAAGACGTTAATGTGTGAATTATGTATAGAATAAATGAGGTTTGATTTCTGGCAGCAATACTTTTCTTTTGATGAAGCGACTTCAAGCTCAAAACAATAAATTCACTTATACAGAAATATCTGTATCGATTTCGTGGGCATCACTTTCCAGCAGACTGTATGCATTCCTATTGGAATAAATTGTGTCCCTCTTCGAGCTGACTTTTTGTTTTCATTTGAGGCTTAATCATTTAACTTGACTGGTTGAAAGCCTAGCCAATTCATTCGATTTCACATTCAGCTGTATCGACGATGTATTCTTTCCCAAAACATGTACTGACCACATTGATCGTATGAACTCTCCTGTGCTTGAAATCGAGGATCCACCGACTTTTTCCTCAATCTCTGCTTGCAACATGACCAACAGGGAGGGCTGATCAGATAAGCTGTAAGATAAGAGGGACATTTCCATTCTCCGACCGTGAACTTTTCCTTTCTTGATCGTTACATCCCTGCTTCCCCTTCCTTTTGTGTTTACGTGTTTCAGATAATTTGGTATTCCTGAGCTTGCTCCTAAAACCAGATTTTAAATCGACTGCTAACGGACAATCTTACATCAGAGAGTCACAAAAGATGCAGAATGATGACGATTATCGGCAAGTTGTATGGTCACCTTCATGATTTATTTGATATTAAAGTCAATGTTTCTGATAATGCTCATTAGTGAAGCTTTTTGTGTGGTCTTTATCCCAGTTCTTGTTACGAGGTTGTGACATTACTTGGATTTGACTCAAGATTTACATGGTGGGTGTTGTCGATGAAGCAGATGACGCCTTCCTGTACTGTTGCAGAACACCTGGTCTCGACCTAGTACTTGTTGAATAGTCGCCACATAAAATTTCCATTTTTTCCTATTTTGTCTTAGTTTTACTGCTTTCTTATTGTTTTTCTTGTAAGACATGTTTCATAACCAGTACACATCAAGAATCCCGACCACCACACGACAGGAAACAATTTATCAACAGACTCTGCACTTGTAAGTTTTTATATCATCAGTAATCCTCAGTATTGACAACATTAGACATGGTAAAACAAACTGGTAGTAACATTTCATGTACGGTCCATACACACATTGTACAGAATTCTAGTATTTCAACCTGAATTAGACAAAAAGCAGTACACAAACGTGGAAAAGTAGTTGTTCAGTCCAGGACAATTTAAGTAGTACAAGTATAATGCCATCATTGATATATTTGAACGTTAAGCCATCATTGATATTTTCTCCAGGTTAATCTATAGATATCATTTTTAGGATCTGAAATAGGCTTATACTTAAGTGTCAATTATGTATGTGGAGTAAAATTGTATCAAAACAATAACAGCTTAAAATATTTCATGTCAATAAGGAGGATGTGCCCTATCAGTCACAAAACAGGTCAATTTGTTTTCAAAATATTTTGAAGTAGTGTTCGTTGATAAATAATAGATCATTAGAGGGAGCACACACATAATGCAGCCATTACTATGAGTCCAATTGAATGTCATTTATTAAATATAACTACTTGTTTTTAATATAAGATATTGATGACAAAATACTTTAATTAAAAATAGTATATGATATGAGGAAAGTATTAATTTGTCTTTTACTATTATGCAATTATAGAAATGAATGGTGATGTCAAAACCCGATTTTATTTTATTTTTAGATGATGACTATATTCTTGGCTTGATAGCTGCCACCTGTTAAATTGATGGTGAGTGCATTGCTTGTACATCTTTAAAACTCATCAATGGCAAAAATGTTTTCTACACTACCATTACAGAAATTTTACATTTCAGTAACAAAATATGACATACAGCAGCTTACATCTTTCAAGATTACCATAGAAAGATTACTTCGTGATTTTAACATCAAAATCTGTTTGTTTTTGCGTAATTGTGCTGTCTGAAGGATTAAAGATGAAAATATACACACAGCAGTCTTGATTATTTATTGAGCTCACACATTTTCATGAGAAAAACATTGTTGTACCTGTAAATTAGTATTCATGTATAATATGAATGGTAGAAAGAAGCAATTACTACCAACTGTATCATTCCTTAAGCCTGGTGTCACATCTTGCAATTTATATACCATAACTGATTCAACAACATCTGATATTCAATAACTTGAAGACATTTTGGTTTTAATCATGTTTCCACTGTTTTAATTGTACATTCATAAACCGGTACCAGACAAGAAGTTTTATACCCTTCAGCTGCAACTTTCCATTTTGTATGCTGTTTATCTATGTAATAACTGTGTAAGTAGAATGTGGAAATGATGAACTCAGGTGTTCAGTCATCCATAAGGTTTTGTATCTAAGCCTGTGTTTGGACAATGACAATACCGGCTGAGTGAACCACCTAAAACCTGCAAACGTAAATCTGATGTGTGTGAGGCCTATACAGTCAATCATTATATTTAGTAACAAAGTAATCAAATGCTGAACAAATTTCAGAATCAGAAAATACTAACAAATAAGATTTGTAAACAGTACAAATTGCATAACAGGTATAAAAAGTATCAACAATTCTTTCGCATCAATAAATTACTGCTTTAATAAAATTTTCATTTTTTTTTTTTAATAAAAAACTCAAATTATGAAAAATTTCATTTTTACTAATCTTTTTAATTTTCACATTGTTATTGCATGAATATTCCTGTAACTATTTTGTTTTGTTTTAAATCATTAACCTGTTATGTCAGGATGACAAACTCTTTCAAAGAGTTGTAATACTAATTCTAACTCACACCATTTCCTCCACCAAACTCTTTTCCATTTTATTTTTAAATCAATCATTTTACCTTACATCTGAACTTAACTTTACCAGTGCCAGAAGACAACAATTTTCACAATTGATTCATCAAACTTTTGAACCACAAATTAATGTACATTTGACACACATTTATATATCAACGTTGGTTCGTGATAAACTAATTTTCACTTTTTCTTGGAGCAGGAGTTGCACATTTGTGTCCGTGTGTAGCACTACTCCTGTGGGAGAATGTCCTCTTGACCCCGCTTCCCTGCCCCACTAGGGCTGGGGTTGATCCTCACTACCAGGGGGGAGATCCTGCTGAGTGAACAGCAGCTGGTCATTCCTTAGTTTATCAGCCTGAATTGTGGCTTTTGAGCAGCGTGCACTGCTTTGATTTCTGTCACTTACACTTTGTTTTCAGTACTTCAACGTTTCCTACAAGTCAACAAAAACAGACCATTAATGATACGTTCAGTAAAACCTCGTTTTACTGCCATCATTTGTTCAGCATATTTATTAAAGATTATCAAATTAAAGGCGACATTGAAATAGGTTGGTGGCAAATTAAATGAGGGGGCATTATATCATTATTTTACTGTAGATTGTTGTAAATTTTGATATAAGATCAATCGGCTGTTGAATAAAAAGACAAATAATCTCTAAAAAGTTATTGCAAACGTGGAATATTACGCACGGGGGTAAATTACGCTTATTACGCGGAGTCGGATCGTCCGTGTTAATTTCCCCCTCGCCTATGGTTTCATCGATAGTGTAAGGAATGTTGTTTTGTCAACATAGTACTAATTAACCAATGTTTTCTAGAGCACACAAAAAAACCCAACATGCACATACACATGAATACAGTTCACCTTTATTTTTATCTGTCCAATGACCAGTAGGTACGCATACGTAACATGTACTCAGCAGCTGGTATTTTTACCAGTACACATTTTGTAAAGGTAAGGGAGATAACTCTGCAGAGTAAACGTCGTACTACGACCGCATAAATAACCCCGTGGGTATAGTTTTGACCTTCAAATCGCGTAATTTTCACCCAGTGTAAATAACCACGTTTACAGTACTTAGATCTACAAGATTGAGTTATTGCTCTGATTGGTAATTATAAATGAAGATGATTTTCCTTGCAACAAAAATGTTCTGTAACTGCATATATGTCTAAAAACCAGTAATGGCACATACTTTGAGCCAAAGATGAGGTCAGCATCTGGAGCTCCCTTTGGATGCTGGTAGTTCCTCAACCTCCTGTCCCGGTTAGCATTTACCAATGGCATCGGTCTGTTTAATGCTGCTATCATTTCTACAATGCATGTCACAGAAAATAGGTTTTTTTCACTTTCATTGTTATATAATGAATTCGAAGCTTTGTCAAATTGCTATCAAATACCAATATTTATAAATCTGAATAGTAATATTATTTTAATGTGTGATGAAGAGAGTTAAATATTGTCAATGCTGGATAAAGAAAAAAAATAAAGTTGAGAACCTCTTCACAAGTGTAAAGTATTAAGAATCTCTGCTCTTGTGCTATACAGTATAACCACAGAGGCAACACTCCTGAGCTTGTTATTGTAAGAGCACACATAAGAACCCCAGTGAGAGATGGCCAGAGAGACACACGATCACCTCACTGTGTCAGTACACATACCCTGGTAATCCTCCTCCTCCTGTCGCTCATGGATTCCCAGCACCACCTGTTTCATCCTCTCCTTCTCCATCTTCTCGGCCTGAAGTCCAGTGCAAACAAACCAAGAATGAATCATAATAATGAGTTATATCTTAGAGAGAAAAGATGAAATACTGCTGCCAATATCTAATTCTTTCTCCTACTAATAATGCATCATTTATTTAAATATCTGGTAGTCCCTAAACACGCCCCTTCCATCTACCATGAAAAGTTTGATGAGGAATGTCCCCTCTGCCTGTCTTTCATGTACACAAAAATTGAGATAAAGAATGCTCCCTCTGCCTAGAAAATTCAGATAGGAAACGCTTCCGCCAGCTATCCTTCATCTACCATGAACACAATAGTAAAACAATTGATTGGAAAGTGTTGAAATGATTGAAATATGATTTAATCAGAGTGTGTTAGAAAGAACTAAGAACTGTCTTCCTTAATTTATTTAACAATCATCATTGTATGATATATATGTGAAGCATTATCAACTTCAGTCTTTACTACAACATTTGATACTTTTTTTCTCACACTACTTACATGTTCCCTTTCCTTGTACTTGGCAGCAAACTCAGCAGATATGGGTACATTCAGGTTGGTGAACTGAAATCAAAATGACCAGATGTTAAGGTGCATTTAAACTTTAAGTTATTGATGTAAATCACTCGATTCTCGTGAAAGATTTTTTTTTTTAAGATGCTTCAAACACATTACAAGGATTCACATTGGCACATTCAACAATAATAGGTTTATAGCATTTGTTTTGTTGTGTCTGAAAAAATCATTGCAATATATTTGAATTGATGATCTACTCTACATGTAAATTCAAATTTGTATACCATGTATAATAGTTCTAAGTGACGAATACTCCTCTATTATAGACAAACACATCTAGCAATTTTAACTAAGTAACATTAAAACAAGAATTTCACAAGAGTGGATGTGTCGCCTGCTTAGCGCTTTTAGTGAGAAAAGTGTTTTGGCTCGAGTTATCACGTAAACAAGCAAAAATTAACAGCAAAAACGATGAACAGCGTTGCTATGTCAAGTAGGATATGCCAAAATACGGAAAGTTGAAACTTGACAGAAAAGCTTGTAATATATTTTGAACAATATTGCTTCTACCATTACGGTACAAAACTTGAAAGGAATTGATTAAAAAATAAAAAAAGTTCTTGCATTTACTACACAACGCCCTTATTTGGCAATAAAAGGGGTATAACTCCACCAAAAACTTGTCCAAGCTATATTAGTATGCAATATGTGTTCCGAGCTATATTAGTATGCAATATGTGTACCAAGTTTGAGTCCAACCAATGCAAGGGAAGTTATCGCACGGAAACGTTGTTCCGGACGACGCAACCCACGACGCCGATGTCACCTATAACAAACAGTTAGTTAGAAACAAAATTAAAGAGACAGAGATTGTGTACAATACTTGATATTTGAAATCTTAAACAGACAGAGTATTAATGTTGCACCTGCTGCTTGTTGCCTCTCCTGGTCATCAGTACAAAGTCTATGGACTTGTTCTCTTTCGGTTCTTCCTGGGTTTCTGCAGTACCATGAAAAGTAAAACATCACTTGATAATTTGCTAGTAAATGTTGTATCTAAATAGTGAAATGTGTCATATTTACATTAACATATTCTCACTCTCTCAGTTCATCAAGTAAATTACTTGTTATTGTTTTAACAGTGTTTTTGAATACTCAAGAAATTTAAAAAAATAAAAGTCTAACTAAGAAAATCACAATGACAATTGTTCCACTCCTTAAATAGCAGCAACTTTTCAAGAGGGTTTATGTTGTTTTGCATCCAGTAAGCTAATTTGCTTCTTAATTGTTAGAAACAAAAATCAATATACATCTTTTTGAGAGAAAGACAAAATTAGGTAGGGGGCTTTATTGCAGGCACCCACCTTGTTACCAAGACATTTGCCAAGTGAGGAGGGGGCTTATATTTGCGAGAGGGGGCTTATTTGTGGTCAGATACGGTAATGCATTAAGGAAACAAACATGATTTAAACATGATACTGGCCAGGTGATATGACGGTTTACCTAAGAAGTTAGAACATGCTGCCTTTTTGTTTTTATCCTTCAGATGCATAGGGACTGCTATATCCAGCTGGGGCACTTTGAGTGACTCATGATTTCTTGCCTGTAAAGCATCAATCATTCAAAATTACAGAAATAAATTCTTTAAGATTATATAACAAGCACATTTGAGTTAAAAGAAAGATAACTTGGTATTTATATCTGTTTCACTGTATCCTCTTATCTACAGGCCCACCTGCTTGAGAGATCACCTCTATTCACCATTTGCAATAGGAGACCACTTGAATGGCTTTCCGAAGGATGTCTCTGAGACTGTATATCACTTATTAACAGAAGCATCCCATTCTGTTACTTTTAAGTCCATTATTATACTACACACTTGACAGTGAGTTCAGAACGATTCCTGTTAAAAATCAATGTTCATCATCTGTTTTTGATTGGAAAAGTGAAAGTTGCTATAAGTGAATAAGCATTATCCCTTTCTGACTGCAAAAAATATTTGCAGTCATGTTAATTAAATGAAGATTAGTGAAAATGAAAGTTAACCAACCTGAATGTTGTCTATCATCATCTTGTCAAATGCTGTCATGAAGTCATCATCCTCCGAGCACTTGACAAATTTTGGTCCTCCAGTTAACAGGGTTATCTGGCCGCAGGGTTAGAAAAATTATTCAGTATTGCTTTCTTGCGATATTACAATTCAGTATTGCTTTCTTGCGATATTACAATTCAGTATTGCTTTCTTGCGATATTACAATTCAGTATTGCTTTCTTGTGATATTACAATGTGATGCCACTTTTACAAGTGAGTAAAGATTGTCAGACGTTTGTAAGTACACAGAAAATTTCCAAATCAGACAGTGTTATCTTAACATCCTCTAGTTATATCTATGGTACATATTTTTTAAAAAGAAAAATTAATATTATTGTTTTCTGATGACGGTGTAAACTGTATTACCTCATCATCTTCCCCAGCGGAGTCTAACATGTCATCGTCATCGTTCTCACTCGTTTCAACACCTTCTCCCTCCTGGAAAACACATAAACATTGACCTTATGCTACGATACAATTCTTGGACTTTCATATATAACCAACGGTGTATATTTACGCTATACTTTTTGATCACAGATAATGAAAGTTTAAGAGTACCACAAACTGGCCTGAAATGTCCGATACTTTTCATTCATGTATGACAAACTAGATGCATTATCTGTGGTCTAAGATTATTTTTAAAAGCTTTTCAGATTTTAACCTCTTCTCAGTTCCAATGTTGACACACTTTAGCTTACAACCTCTTGGTTCTGATGTCTACACAGAGTTTAATCTTACGTTTTCTTGGTTCTGATGTCTACACATAGTTTAATCTTACGTTTTCTTGGTTCTGATGTCTGCACAGAGTTTAAGCTTACATTTTCTTGGTTTTGATGTCTACACAGAGTTAAGGCTTAAGTTTTCTTGGTTCTGATGTCTACACAGAGTTTAAGTTTACATTTTCTTGGTTCTGATGTCTACACATAGTTTAATCTTACGTTTTCTTGGTTCTGATGTCTACACAGATTTTAATCTTACATTTTCTTGGTTCTGATGTCTACACAGAATTTAAGCTTACATATTTCTTGGTTCTGATGTCTACACAGAATTTAAGCTTAACTTTTCTTGGTTCTGATGTCTACACAGAGTTTAATCTTACGTTTTCTTGGTTCTGATGTCTACACAGAGTTTAAGCTTAACTTTTCTTGGTTCTGATGTCTACACAGAGTTTAAGCGTAATTATTCTTGGTTCTGATGTCTACACAGAGTTTAAGCGTAATTATTCTTGGTTCTGATGTCTACACAGAGATTAAGCGGACATCCTCTCATTCTAATGTCCCCACAGGGGTTTTAACTTGGTTCTGAATGTCAGTATTAAGCTTTTTGTTTTTCCGTACCTCTCTTGGTCCTGATTTTCTCTTACCTCCCCCTGATCCCGATTGCTCATACTGCCTGTGTAACTTCGCTGACTCTGACTATGATCTTCCCCGCTTGCCTCACTATCATCCTCCGTGTTGGACAGACTGTTACTGAAGTCATCTGCAAGAAGTATTGAAGTAACAGCCTAACCAACATTGCTCCCTGAACACATTTCAGCACCAATACATTTAGGCTATTCCAGATATGAATATTTAGGGGTAGGGGCAAGGAAGGTATGCACTTCAATTAATAACATCTGGTCATTTTGTGAGTGATGGTAGTCCCACAACGCCAATGTATTCACATTTGGATTAGCCCTTATAGAAGTTGAGAGTTTGATGTAAGACTAAATGAAGCAATAATAGGTAGATAAACACATTTCATTATAAATAAATTTGTTTATGGATCATTAAAGTAGCATAACTACTGCATATAAGTAGTTAGTATTGTACCTTGTGTTTTGTTTATTTGTTTGTTTTGGGTTTCACATCCTTCCTACAGTTACTGATACGCGTTGGATACCTACCAATTTCTTCGATCTCCCGTATGGTGGTCAGAACTCCCTCATCAGCTTCACTGCTGTTTCCTTCATCCGTTTCAATGATGGACAGTACAGACGCTGTCAAAACATTGCAGATATTACAGATAGCACTTCACACAGTAATTATTGTGGAAGTGTTTTTTTATTTATTGTATTCACTGTATAACAGTTCACCGATCTAACTAGACAGTGAATTTCTATAGTAAAGTAACAGTTAACGCTTCAAACTCAGCAAATTCAGTGCACATATATAGTTGTTTCCTAATTAAAAAAAAAAGAAAACACACCACAAGATCAAAGCGGTATACATCAAGGACAAACTTAGACATCATCTCTTACAATGGACTGTCAGGTATAATAATGATAAATTCCAAAATAAATGTCAACAAAGTCTTATAATAGCTAAAGTTAGACATCATGATTCTTTGGAAGATTCTTTGGAAGATGCTGTTCTACATATCTTACTGTGTTAAATGTAGAGCAATGTCACTTAAGCAACCATGGTAACTTTCCCCCTAGCAAGCTACATGCCAAATGTCATAACTCTTAATTTCTTGGTTTCGTCTTCTAGTTAACAATGGAGGAATAACACCACATAAACAAACATGCACATAATTCATGCCAGATGTCAGCTAAAAATAAAGAACCTGTGATCACTCTAGAATTTAGAGTATTTTACAGACTACAGTTTATGGATATAAGACAAAATGAATCACAATTACCTTTAGATATTTTCATTGATTAGGTGTATATATGTCCTACCTAGTTTCTGTTTGTATTCATTTTCCAAGTCTTCAGCAGCCTTACTAGCCTCCTCGTAGTTCTGAGGCACCTGACTCTTGGGGCGGATGGCTTCAATTGTGTCCTGCATCAAGTTCTCCACATCAATGGGGAATGGCCTGTCCTCGGTCCAAATACTACACTGCCTTTTGAACCAGTAATACCGCTGAAGTAATTGGAGAAAAAATAAAACTATAATTTCGGTCGTAACCTGTTTTTCTTTTCATCGAAAACGTGACTCAAATAATGTTTCTTCTGTGTCAATAACATTTTACAAGCAAACTCTAATCTTTTGAGCATATGTGGAGTTCTAGCCTTGCTTCATTCTTGAAAACATAATTCTGAATTCAATAGCATACATCTTATATTTACTACCAGTAATGTCACTAACCTGGAAATAGATGAGGAAGCAATCAAGCTTCTTTTTGCTAGAACCCTTGTCAAAGTACTGTCCACATGTCTCAAGCACCACGCAAGTGAGTCGGATACGGAAAAGGTGCTGTGGGGGGTCCAGAAGTGACTCGCCACTGTCTGCAAGATGCATGTAATAATTCAGTACACTTAAAGAAAACAGGATACTTTTATGTACATGTAAAGAAATGTTCGTCTCTAACATATTGTCTACTTTCACAAAACATTCAGAAAACCATCCTATGACCTTGAGTTGAAGGTTAACTATAAGGTGAGGTCTGTGAAAGTGATACTTGACATTGTGTAGTGCTGATGTATTTGTGTGTACAATGTTTGATTAAAATATCTTGATGAAAGGAGGAGTTAAACTACTTCTCACAACAAAGGTCAAGCTAACTAAAAGTTTTTGTTCTGCCTACACTTAAACTTGATCAAACACAATTTAACTCCAAAATAAATACTGCTGGGTCAGAAACGGCATGCAATTTGACACTTTATCCAATGTTCTATTTTAAGAACAGTGACCTTGACCTAAGGAACTTGTTGACTTGCAAGCTGAAAACAAATGATTACCATCAAACGACACTCCAAAAGTGATAAAGGAGTAGAGAGTCTTGAAGATGACGGTAGACTCGACCATCCTGTAGTTATAAAGCTCTCCAAGAAACTTGGCACAGCTCACACGGCGCTGGTTGTACTTGGGGTGGTTTATCTGGTTAACAAAAACAAACAACATACATACTGTCACAGCTAACAAACATGTTTCAAAATAATTAATGTATTTACATGTACAAAGACATTCAATATTCTGGACACGAGTAAAAAATGATGTAGTCATCAATTGAAAGAGAAGACATATTTTTTATTTCTTAATTTTTAGGTTTAAAATATTTATTACTCCCCCTACCCCAGACAAAATGTATACATTTGTATACTTATATAAGTTGAACATCATTCTGTTAATGAATACCTCATGTCACCCACTTAAAACTGTAAATCGTTTGTGTTGGAACCAAAAATACAAAAGTTTTCTCTTGTGGGGCTTATGTTGCCTGCTGATCAGACACCCAACGTTGCCCTTGCAGGCAGTGTCCTTCTGAAGCCTACTTTCTGTTTCTTTCACTCTTACATGTATACACGATGTGTGAAGGGTCAAGGACCTCCGCCCGAGTCACAAAACAATAATAAACAATAATGACCTCAAGCAACAGGTATTGTCTGCCAGTTGAACAGAAGTTGGAGCCACTACTTAATGAAAACTATTCCAAGTACACTAAAGTTGTAATTTCCAGAGCGATAGATGCATTTAAAATCAACCCATATCTAACAGGCACAGGCCATTTGTCCAGCACAGGCCATATCTGTCCGGCACAGGCCATATCTGTCAGGCACAGGCCATATCTGTCCGGCACAGGCCATATCTGTCCGGCACAGGCCATATCTGTCAGGCACAGGCAAAATCTGTCCAGCACAGGCCACATCTGTCAGGCACAGGCCATATCTGTCAGGCACAGGCCATATCTGTCCGGCACAGGCCATATTTGTCTGGCACAGGCCATATCCATTCAACTATACAATGTCATGTTCAACTTTTTTCAGAAAAAGCATGCCTCAATGGGAGAGTAATTTGAGCTGGTAGTGTACACACTGCATATCCATCTGTATTTGTATGGTGTTCATTGTATATTATTTGAAGACAGAATATGCGAATATACCAAACATGAAAAATAAATTTGATATGCGTTTTATGTGTTATTGCAAATAATTTCGATGTTATAAGCAGCACATGATAAAAAGGGTATCATACGACCATTTTGATTTCCTACTCTGTATCAGCCCTCGGTTCTCCACCCTCTTGGACTGATATGGGAGTGTCATGTAGATATTGATTAGGATATGGAAATGGTCATTTGATAACCCCAAACTATCCTAGGGAAATACACCTTACACTTTGAGGATCTTTGCAATTAAAGAATCTTGCCCCTCTAGACGAGATTTGCCTATACCACCAAGGGGGTAAAAGATTCTATTACTAGCCCTGTGAGTTGTGTATTACCTCCATGCCTATCCGAATGTCCTCCAGTACTCCATCCACAACCTGTATGGCCACATGTTCCTGGTAACACAAGAAACACACCAAACTAAACGTTGTCAAGGTTTTATATACAGACATATTTACGTCTGAGCAGAGAAGTGAACATGATGATAAATCAGATTAAGACTCACATGTACTGTAAAACAATTGTAACAAGCATAAACACATAACTTCCTCTCCATTTACAGCAAACAGAAGAAATAATTTTATATTTTTAATTTAACTAAAATCTATTACTTTTCTATAGTAATCAATAAGGTTTTCAACCGATATGTTAGACTTACATGATAAGGTGCTAGACCAGCTAAGAGATTGGCAGCACAGTGTATTGAGTTGTAGCGTACATTCCACACTGCTATAAGGGACTTTGTGGCATAGAATCCTATCTGTAAGACAAAGAATCATATTGAACATGATTAGTGAAAGGTTAAGGGAAATTACGGAATGAAGGAATATCGCTATATAAATATTGACAAATTAATAAAAAAATAAAGCATTTTTACCTCACGATTATCCCAGTTCAATTTTCTCATTTGCCTCAGAACCTGCCAATAAACAAAGAATCTGTTAATGCAAAAGCAGTATGAATTTGGCAGCAACAAATCAACACTAAATTTTACATTATTAACAACCAGGTAACACTATACACTTCTAGCTACAAAAACAATGAACACCACCAATCATCTTGGATAGAAAAATAATCATGTTTTTCACATTAAAAACATCATTTCAGGTCTTATTTTGGTAATAAATCTATAAAACATGAGTTTATATATATATATATATATATATTTTTTTTTTATTATGCATAGTACCTGTGAAGCCTTTGTCTCTTGATTTTGTAAGTCAATCTGTAAAATGTATCTATTAATGGGTCACACTGAAGTTAACACATAGCTGTGTACTTGTATCTATTAATGGGTCTCACTGAAGTTAACACATAGCTATGTACTTTTATCTATTAATGGGTCACACTGAAGTTAACACAGAGCTGTGTACTTGTATCTATTAATGGGTCACACTGAAGTTAACACATAGCTGTGTACTTGTATCTATTGATGGGTCACACTGAAGTTAACAAATAGCTGTGTACTTGTATTTATTGATGGGTCACACTGAGGTTAACACATAGCTGTGTACTTGTATCTATTAATGGGTCACACTGAAGTTAACCCATAGCTGTGTACTTGTATCTATTAATGGGTCTCACTGAAGTTAACACATAGCTGTGTACTTATATCTATTAATGGGTCACATTGAAGTTAACACATAGCTGTGTACTTGTATCTATTAATGGGTCACACTGAAGTTAACACATAGCTGTGTACTTGTATCTATTAATGTGTCACACTGAAGTTAACACATAGCTGTGTACTTATATCTATTAATGGGTCACATTGAAGTTAACACATAGCTGTGTACTTGTATCTATTAATCGGTCACACTGAAGTTAACACATAGCTGTGTACTTGTATTTATTGATGGGTCACACTGAACTTAACACATAGCTGTGTACTTGTATCTATTAATGTGTCACACTGAAGTTAACACATAGCTGTGTACTTGTATCTATTAATGGGCCATGTGGAAGTAAAAATACTATTAAGTTTTGTATTAGTGGGCCATGTGGAAGTAAAAATATACTATTAAGTTTTTTTTATTAATGGGCCTTATAGAAGTAAACATGGAGTTGAATATGGGTATCTGGTCGCGGGTCATGTTTAAGTATACAATCATGTACTTGTGTAACAATCAGTGGGTCTCGTTGAAGAAAAAACATTATTATACCATCAAGCTTAAATATTGCTAACTAGATCCCTAATGCCGATTGCAATTTCACGGTCCTGACCTTTTCTGTGGTGACCTTGGAGAGATCCTTGTAGAGGAGTTTCCTGATGTACTCGTGGAGAGGGGGCCTGATCTTTCTGGCGCTCTGGGGAACATCCGGGGGGTTACTGTAGTAGAAGGCATTCTCTATCATCGTTGTGTACCGACCGTCCAGGTGGAGGGCTGTCTTCTTCCTCATCATGACATCCTGGCAAGATCAATTATAATATACCAGCGGGAGGTCAACTACGATGTATACAATAAACATGATGTAAATATTAAACATGGCGGTTACCTTTAATAGGTACAGGTAAGATATTGCACTAGCTAAGGTCTCACATACGGTAGGTCGAATAGTGTATCGAGCTTAAACATACAACAAGGTCGTGAAGTCATACAAACAGCTTAGCCCTTTATATGGCCAAACATCTCTTGACTGAAGAACACAAAATAGAATACATAAAACTTTCCTCAGTCATTGTAATGACTTCAAGAAGACATATACCAGAGCCTATAAAAATCATTTCTTATAATTCAGGCCCACCTACATCTATTTTAAACCCTTGCATCACTGATTTTATGCAAAAAGGAAATTAAAACAAAAATTGTGAAGAGGGGAAAAACCTGCATTTCAGCTCCTGCACACGCATTAAACAATTAAGAGTGATCTGAAGGACTTAACATTGTACTGTGGTGTACCTGGAATGTACAGTGCGGGGAGGCTATGAGTATCTCAAGTCTTACTGGGCATTGGTTCGGTTTAGTATTGTTTAACGTCCCATCAACAGCTATGGACATTTAAGGACAGCCTCCCCTGCGTGCAAGATGCATGTGTGTAGTGTATGCGTGTGTGTTTTGGGAGGCTGCGATATGTTCGTGTTCGAGGCTGTGAGTATCTCAGGTCTTACTGTTCTAGCTCTACACTTTACATACCAGATAGATCTTTGTCCTGTGATGAGAATCTTGAGATCTGTAGAGAAATCTGCCACATGTGTCCAGTAGAGAACAGGCCATCTCAATGTTGTGGTGGGAGAAATCAAACATCAGTGACTGCAAACAGATATATACACATTTCATACCTGTACAAATGTCATATAAAGTTTTTATCTATAACATACTCAGTTCACAAGTAAACTTGCTAAATGTTTTTCCATGTTTGTTTTTTTTAATTTTCAAGCCATATGTACATCAACAAGTTAACCAGAAATGAACGACATCTATTGACTTATCAAAAAGTGTAAATATCCCACAAGAGTTTAACACAGTCAAGTCAGTAGTTGGGGCTGGATCAGGAGTTTTGGTAATATAGTCGAACCTCGCTATCTCGAAGTTGACGGGGTCGTGGGAAAACTTTGAGTCATCCGAGTATTCGATTTGTGCGGGTTCATATATTTGGTATGAAATTTGCTGTTTGGGAAAAGCACTAGCAGCCATTGATTTTTATTAATAGCCAATGCTTATAATCAATCGATGAATGCCATATGTAACCAATATTTCAAATACAGGCATGTAATTTTACAACAAACACGCTTTCAAAAATAGAATAAGTTATTTCCGAAAAAAACGTAATTTCGTTTAACGAGATCGAAATGGTTAGATTATATTGTGAATTCGTTATGAAATATGGCTCGCCTAGTGATTAAATGTTGTTTTGGGCTAATCTTGGCAAAGGCTTCCCAGGTCTGCATTTGTATTTGCAAGTCTGACAAGTTTTACCTCTGAAGTGTTACATTTGAAAATTGAACTATCCCGCTGTCTCCGACCTCGTAGTTACAATGCGGAAATGAAAGTGTGCAAGTCTCAAGCAAATCACTATATTTACATTCTGTATGCTTAGACCCATTGACAAAAATTACATTCATAAATGCATAACACAGGTGTTCATAGAGTCCCAGCACGTGGGAACTGATAGTAACCTGATCACACTGCGTAGTAATACACTACAAAAACTACTCACTCGGAACGACCGACCTAGATGCTTAATTCTTACATCTTAAAATATTATTGAACTGTGCTTTGTGAAATATCCACGTATTCACGTGTCCTGTGCTACAAATAAACATTGAATATGGAACTACATTTTGTTGTGTTATTGTTGTTGACGGTTGCTAAGATCTCTCACGATAGTGTCACATTTCCCCGCGAAAAAACACTGTTCTCGCCACTGCGTTGCACCCGTGTATAAGCAGGAACAAACCCTGTTTATTTGTTTTATTCGTTGTTATATCGATCCACTGAAAGGATTCGTCAATGTAAATATAAGGAATGATATTTATTTTTTCAACATTTATGAGGTCATAACAACAATGGGTTTTTGGACATATTTTACATGAATCGCTAACGCGATTCATTCAATATGTCCATAAACCCATTGTTGTTATGACCTCATAAATGTTGAAAAAATAAAAATCATTCCTTAAGTAATGGAGTGTACGCATAGTTAGTTCTTTAAAAGTAAACACACACAAACAGATACTATCGTACATGTAACACATTGATTCATTCAAGCCAAATGTGACACCTGACACCTCCTCAACTTGATGTAATCAACAGCAATTATCCTATTGTTCTTAAAATCTCTCGATCGTCTTTCAAAGCCATACTGGCTCCTGTAAAGACATGAATCTGTGAAGCCGTCCTAGGTTGTGAGTTTAACTGTGGAATTCTTTTATGCATGACTGTTGATCAACATTGATGAAGTTTGTTTTTTTATTATGAACAACATGGTTTTGACAGTCTGCACACATTCTTAAGCTTTATCAAAAATTATTTTTTACCGATTTCGTGCTAGTCTACTCACGAAATATGTTCATAAACATGGAATGACAAAATGCTGTAGTTTTGTGTTTTATTTGTATCGGAGAATTGATAAATGACAAAATGAAATTTGAACACTATGAAGTAGCCGATGTTTGGGGGTTGGATTTACGCTGTTGAAACCAATATCTTACTTCGAGGTATCCAAGTTTTTTGAGTTTTCAGGATTAAAATTATCAGTTTTATTTACTATTAAGATAAAGAGGAGATTTGGCCAGGACCGGAGAAATACTTCGAGATAAACGGGGTCTTCGAGTTATAAGAGATTGAGATAACGAGGTTCAACTGTACTTTTTAAAACTTGTGAGGAAGCTTGCCAGCATCTGAAGAATGACCACAAGAATTAGACTAGGTACAGATGTTATACAACACACAGAAAAAGCAGCTAACCTTCACACAATGCAATGCCTCGGATTTGGGATATAACTTGAACTTGACCAGCTCTCCTGAAAAATAAAATAACAGATTTGTGTCAATTCATACCACAGAACCTTCTTACATGAATCAGACATATAGTTGTCCATGAAAAGGAAAAAATTCTACCCAAAGAATATTTTAAAACATTTTACTCCAATTTAATGACATCTAATGATATTGAAAGAAATATCATCTTTGTATTTTTCACAACTCATTTTAACACAAAAATATTACAGAATTTTTGCATTTGGCATATGGCAATTTTGTTTAAAATAGTGTAATATGTACAGATATGACAATAACAGGATTCTGGAGGTATATGCTGATCGTATATAAGACTTTTTTTGTTGTTTAGTGTAAAAAGTAACCAAGAGTCCTAGGGTGATGATATTTTGCCAGTAACATGCTCGGATGAAGGACTACCAACTTTGTTCAAATGAATGACCTTGACATATATTCAAGGTCACAGGGGTCAAATATGTTTAAAACCTTTATGTGACTTCTTCTCAATAAGCAAAAGGTGAAGGGTGATGATATTTGGCCATTAACATGCTGGGATGAAGGACTAACAAGTTTGTTCAAATGAATTACATTCGCCCATATTCAAGGTCACAGTTGTCAATATATGTTTTTATCTTTAAATGACTTGTTCTGTACAACCGAAAGGTCCAGGGTAATGATATTTTGCCAGAAGCATGCCCGGTTGGACGACTATAAACTCTGTTCAACCTAATGTCCCTGTTCGACATTCAAGGTCACAGGTGTCATATGTTTAAATCTTTTAATAGGTTCTTATGAGTCAAACACTGATATACTGCCTGTAGCTGTATTTTGGTCCACTTTAAAGATTATTTGTGAGATTAATACCAGGTGAGCGATTCAGGCCCCATGGGCCTCTCGTTTAAAGTAAAATATTGATGCCGGACGACGGACGGACGCCGCACCACGGCATAAGCTCACTTGCCCTTTGGCATGGGCAAGTGAGCGAAAAAAGAATAACTGGTAAGGACACGGCGCAATACATTCACACTGCAGCTGTAAGACCACTTCACAGTCTATATAAAATTATACTGATGATTATTAATAACAATATTTACCTTCATATTGATATGCATATAATCATGTAAATGCATATTACTCACCTATAAACCGCACAGTCTTTAACTTGGATTCAATGTTGATCTGGTCCTTTTTTCTAACCTTTACAATGAAAAGATTACCAACAATTTTAAATTCGGGTTATTCCTTTTACATACCCCACCTTGGACACAACATTTTGAAAAAGGTCATCACCAACAAGTGTTTCGCAACATATGACTTTGACTTGTGTAACTTCTAGCAACACAGTACCAGGAACAGAAGAGATAAATGGCAATATATGACATGGATCTTTAGTAATATTCACTGGTATATCAGATTTATCTGATTTTCCAGTGTAAGTTCCACCTTTCTTTTTATCCTCTAGTATTTGTGTATAACTGCTATATAGACATATGTCCTCAAATACCCCACAGTAAACCATTCAGTTGAGCTTCCCAAGTCTAAACGTTAACCCTATCACTGTGTATGTATACGTACATGCCATCTGAAGTCTCCTTTGAGAAGCTGGACAAGGTCGTTAGCCACATCAGGCATACAAGGGTACAGTGTTGCTACCATCCGAGAGTAAAATGGCAGCAGATCATACCTGATACATAATATCATTGTATATCATGGTTGTAACATCAATAGATATTAGTATTAAAACCTTCACCATGTCAATGTAAAGACCAAGAGTAACTGATTATTAATCAGATATTAATTGAGAAGTAAAAAATTCAAAATTAAGATTTCTCCTTTAATTCAATTTAAGCATCAGAATGTTAATACAATATTTTCTGTAAGTGCAACAATAAACCGATAATTCCAAAGATTTTGCCATCAAATTCAGAAACAATGCCATGATCTTCAATGAAGTATATGGGCGAGAAGAAAGTGGAAAGAATACTTTCTTTATATTCTTAAACACTGGTACAAATATCACAAGAGAATGTACAAGTCTTACCTGGTTCTGTGAACAGTGAATAGTGCCTTAACCAGCTTCTTCCTGTTGGATTTCATGTTGAAATTCATACAAAACTCTATGCTGCCCTAAAACATACAATATCATTCTTAATATTATGTAACACCTACTTAATCAGGATTCCAACTATCAGAAAAATATATTTTTTCAGAATGAAAATTAGATAGAAACTAGAACACTGACAGGTCAGTAAGGGCCCGGTTTTGTGGCAATATATCCGCCATAATCATCAAGAAGCAATCTGCAATACTCATTTGTTAGCTTTGATATGTTTTATTTCACTTTAAATACCTCCTCCATCAATAGCCAGGTTCAAAGTCAGAGATCCACTTTGTCTTTGACCTTCGGACCCAAATGACCTTTAACCCAGTGACCCTGAGATTCCGACCAACTTTGCTTCATAATATCATAACAAAATGTTCATTAGTGAAAAATACAAAACTTGACCTTGACCTAGAACCTTTGAACCCCGTAACCTTGACCTTAGGTCATTTGACTCCGTGTTAAGTTCTGAACAGCTTTGCTTCATAATAACATAAAAATAATGTTCATCAGTTAAAGATACAATATTTGACCTTGACATTGACCCAGTGACCTTGCCCTTTGGTCAGATGACTCCTTGTTTAATTCTGATCAACATTGCTGTTCATAGTGTCATAACAAAATGTTCATCAGTGAAATTATACTAAATTTGACCTTGACCTTTGATCTAGTGACCTTGACATAAGTCAGTTGACTCTTTGTTGAATTACGACCAACTTTGCTTCATAGCATCATAACAAAATGCTCATCAGGGAAAAGATACAAAATTTGACCTTGACCTTTGACCCAGTGACCTTGACCTTTGGTCAATTGACTCCTTGTTTAATTCTGAGCAACATTTCTTCAAAGCATCATAATGAAATATTCACCAGTGGAAAGATACAAAATGTAACCTTTACCATTGAACCTAATGAACTTGACCTTTGACCTCAACTTTTTACCTCAGTGTGTCTCTTTGTTTAATTTCGACCAACTTTGCTTCATAATTTGATAAAATGCTCATTAGTGAAAAGCTACAAAATTTGACCTTGACCTTTGACCTAGACCTCTGACCTGATGACCTTGACCTTCGGTCAGTTAACTCCTTGATTAATTCTGATCAACTTTGCTTCATCATGTCATAACAAAATGCTCATCAGTGAAAAGATGCAAAATTTGACCTGGACCTTTGAACCTTATGACCTTGACCTTTTACATGAGTGTGTATTTTTGTAAACTGAACATCTTGACCAAGTTTCATGTAAATCGATCAATTAATACCAAGTTATTAGCCAGGAACAAAATTTGTGGACGGACAGACAGACAGACAGACAGACAAACAGACAGACAGAGTGATTATGGGGCCCTAACTAGAAAATGTCTGTAAGACATAAATGTTCCCTGCTCATGGATGGGACGGTACGGGGCGCAACGCGACGGACATGGGCAACACTATATGCCCCCCCCCCCCCCCCCCCCCCCCCATGTTATGGCGGGGGGCATTTTTAGAGACGTATTATCACATTCACATGTACTATGTACTAGCTATATATATAGCAAACACATTTTTACTTCAATATTTAACAAGCAAATATATTTTCACTTCAATGTTTTTTTGTGATATCTTATATTCTCTTTCTATATACACTTAAGGATTGAATTCTGTTTTGTTGAGGTTTATGGGGTATAAACCTCAATGTCTTGAGACAAATTTTATGAACTGCAAAGCAGTTCATTTTGAATTTGTCTGAAGACCCATTGAGGTTTATACCCCATAAACCTCAACAAAATGGGATTCTATCCTTATATTTACATTCAGAGTGATATTGATACTTGTTTGGATAATTTCTAAAATATCGGTCTTGTGCAAGTCTAACACCACGGAAGGTATCAAAAATTATGACGTCATAACTCACTTTGAGACGTCGTCCTGGTAAGATGATTAAGCAAATTAAGATGTAAATTATTTTTTGAATTCAATTGAATACTTCTGACATAAAATAAATAAAATTAAAACAATCTAAGAATGGAACTACTTCCCGCGCTCCGTGGAATAACAGAGTGATCAGGTTGATAATATGCTGATGTATTCATACGCCAACTGAAAAGTTCATTGAAAAATAACCTTTAAAATGTTAAGTAGGTATATTGAGTCCAAGTTCAGTAGAAAAGTAAATATTTTGTAATATTTCATATCAGACAAGTGAACATTTTCAATATCTACTATGAAGAGTATATTTCAGAGTAATAGAATTTTCTAACTTTGTCTGCAGGCTAGTACTAGGAATGTGAAATTGTACAACTTTGAATTGAGCATCTATTACTCTAATTTTCAAAAACATTGACATAAAAGCATCACTTCTAGTTGTAATTTTCCAAAAAAGAAAAGTACCAGTACAGACACATTACACAGTTGATTTAGTACCGAGCCCCTAACGAGAAGTGTGGTATCTACTTATACAGCTAGGTGTGTTACCCTACTACTAAACAACTAACCTTGTCCAGTAGGTCCTTGTTGACACAGTTAGGAAGAGATAGGAGGTAAGCATCAAACTGGACCTTCATCAGGTTGCCTGTGTCAGCATCTTCTTCAACTGTACAAGGAAATTTTGTTATATTTCTTAGTCAGATAGACAAGCCATATCATTCACGGCTTCATTCAAGAAAACTTACATAAAGTGGCAGATCAACTTAAAATCATCAAAAATATATGGAATCAAAACAAATTTCAAACTTTAATTGGAAAGTTTGTTAATATGTAACTATTGTTCCAGGTATGGTTTTTATCTTGAACAGAAACAAACATAACTATTTCTTAAATTATTTTGGACTAACGGACATTTTCACCAACTCATTTGGGCACATAGCTGCACATCTGTCACATTAAGAAGAATCTGTGTGAAAACAAACCTGAATGTGTCTCAATCACACTCAGATAAATATTTCAGTTGAACAAGAATCTGTGCGAGAACAATCTGAATGTAATTCACTGAGACACAAGTATCTGTTATTTATCCGGATGTACTCACCGTCAAGTTCATGAAGAGCACTATAGTCCTCATCTACTGCAGGCACTGCCGCCTCCTCCTGCTGACCTTTGACCTTGGCAGCCTCTTCCTCTGCCTCCTTGTTCTCCACCTCTGCGATCTGCTGTTCTGTTTCCATTTCTCGCTCCACATCCTCCACCTTCAAGCTCTCTATGTCTACAGTACAACATACATCACTGGCTCATCATAAAGATAGGGTTATCCTGAACTACACAACAAATCACTGTGTGTGTGGAAATATTAATGCACAAATTACTTTCCCAAAGATTATAAATTAATCAAATGATTTTATGGAAAGACTTCTCTAATAGGTAGGCTGAGATTATAGGTTTTCTTGGTAATTTTTTGATAAGTCAATTCCTTATTTCAATAAAAGTCTGTTTAATCTTTCATTTCCTTGGATCTCTGAGAAAAATGTTGTGTTTACAGATGATACTAACCTTCCTCCAAACCAGTCTCCACATCTTTGGTTTCGTCCTTGACAGTGGCCTGTTCACTCTCTTTATAGCATATCTATACAAGGTGAAATCAAAATATTACCCATGCTTTGCAACATGTATCTGGTACAATGCTTCAAATGTTGTCCACTCTTTCTTTCATAATAAATAAGTTTTTCATTCATTTCAATTTGTATTCAATTAAGCAGCTGATTATCTCTGAAGTGAACTCCAGTGAAATATCTATGTAACGATAAAAATAACTTTTATTCATGATTTATTGATGTCAGCGTAAGTACCAGTCATTGAGGTCTATCTACACTGTTATCTGCTACTGATATACACACCCCTGGTATAAATGCTCGGAGATCAGGAAGTGATTCATAGAATGCTCTTGCATCTTCGTCCTCAAACAAGGTACTGTCACCAACGTACTGAAACTACACAAAGTTTAATGGTGACAATGAGGTTAAAATGTAGGGTACAAAAAATAACAAAGAGAAGCAGTGATTTTAAAACATAACGTACCAGAAAATCGTTTTGATTTGATTGGGACGTCAAAATCCGATGGCCTGGTACCAAGTCATAGGATGCACCGCTGACCATAATGTCTGTTATAATTCCAGTTTAACATGTCAGCTTTTATTATTTAATAGATATCTTTCAAATTTTCAAATTAATTAATGGTTTCTTAAACTCATTCACCCCTGAAATTCCATAATGGACTATTCCAACCTTTGAATCGGGAGAGTTGAAATGTGTCTGCAGGGGTGAATGAGTTAATGACAGTTACAGCTGTCAAACAACAGATGAACATTCTACACATATCACCAGGTAGTTCCTAAACGTTACTAACCTCTGCATTCTTTAAAGGGTCGAACACATCAAACCCAGATTCTTCATCTTTTAACAGATCTAAAATACAAGAAACAGATGTGATAAAACAGTTAATACCTTTATCATTAACAAGCCAAGTTTTTGTTCTATCTCTGAAATCAATATTTATAATTCATTTGTTAGTGCAATTTTTACTAGCTTCAATTATTATTTTATCTTAATGTTAAAATGTGTTTAATTGATAACAGCAAGTGATTTATAACAATTTCATCGCAAGCCCTAAATAGTGTATCAACACAATTATACAGAAACGCTACCTTCCTCGGGCAGGTCTGGCATGTCATCGTCCAGCAGATCCTGTATTGAATAACAACAAGAATGGTGTGTCAAAACAACAAAGACCAATATCTAATAAATAATCTAAAAATCAAGACTGAAATAGAACTTTTGTCATTTCAAAATATTAATGCAAATAGATGATAAAAATATTGAAAACAAATTAACATGATATGGTGTCTTTATCTAGTAGCTGATATTTTTACAAGAAGTATTGCTACCCTTATACTTACTGAAAATACAGCAGTGTTGGTGTAAAGCTTTTGATATGTAACAAGTGCACTTTCATAGCTTTCTCGTCTCTCATTACTCAGCTCTCCCTTTGTCTGAAAAAGACAATGGTATTCACAAAATAATACCTTCTAAGTAAGTAGATGATCATTATTAGGTTTGTGGCAAATATACAAAGAAGGATATTAAATATTGACTCCTGTAAAGTACAGTGATGCTTCCCTTGTACATATCACATATTTCTGTTACAGCTATAATTGTCAAAAGAGGATTAACTCATCACACTTTATAGCCAGTTTCTCAACAGGTGATCCAAGTCGTTAGTTGCTCATTGGTAAGTCATTTACATTTGAGAACTTGTGAAATATGTTCCTTGAATGCATAAAAGAAAAAAAAATATATATAGTTGATTTAGTGAAAGTATACCACATCTTTAATTATTGACAGCACTTGAAAATATGCTTGTGTGTACAACAATAACACCTGAAAATATACCTGTTTGTACAATAACAACACCTGGCAATATATCTGTTTGTACAATAACAACACCTGGCAATATACCTGTGTGTACACTAACAACACCTGGCAATAAACCTGTGTGTACAATAACAACACCTGACAATATACCTGTGTGTACACTAGCAACACCTGACAATATACCTGTGTGTACACTAGCAACACCTGACAATATACCTGTGTGTACACTAACAACACCTGGCAATATACATGTGTGTACAATAACAACACCTGGCAGTATACCTGTGTGTACACTTACAACACCTGGCAATATACATGTGTATACACTAACAACACCTGGCAATATACCTGTGTGTACACTTACAACACCTGGCAATAAACATGTGTATACACTAACAACACCTGGCAATATACCCGTGTGTACACTAACAACACCTGACAATATACCTGTGTGTACACTAACAACACCTGGCAATATACCTGTGTGTACACTAGCAACACCTGGCAATATACCTGTGTGTACACTAACAACACCTGGCAATATACCTGTGTGTACACTAACAACACCTGGCAATATACCTGTGTGTACACTAACAACACCTGGCAATATACCTGTGTGTACACTAACAACACCTGGCAATATACCTGTGTGTACACTAACAACACCTGGCAATATACCTGTGTGTACACTAACAACACCTGGCAATATACCTGTGTGTACACTAACAACACCTGGCAATATACCTGTGTGTACACTAACAACACCTGGCAATATACCTGTGTGTACACTAACAACACCTGGCAATATACCTGTGTGTACACTAACAACACCTGGCAATATACCTGTGTGTACACTAACAACACCTGGCAATATACCTGTGTGTACACTAACAACACCTGGCAATATACCTGTGTGTACACTAACAACACCTGGCAATATACCTGTGTGTACACTAACAACACCTGGCAATATACCTGTGTGTACACTAACAACACCTGGCAATATACCTGTGTGTACACTAACAACACCTGGCAATATACCTGTGTGTACACTAACAACACCTGGCAATATACCTGTGTGTACACTAACAACACCTGGCAATATACCTGTGTGTACACTAACAACACCTGGCAATATACCTGTGTGTACACTAACAACACCTGGCAATATACCTGTGTGTACACTAACAACACCTGGCAATATACCTGTGTGTACACTAACAACACCTGGCAATATACCTGTGTGTACACTAACAACACCTGGCAATATACCTGTGTGTACACTAACAACACCTGGCAATATACCTGTGTGTACACTAACAACACCTGGCAATATACCTGTGTGTACACTAACAACACCTGGCAATATACCTGTGTGTACACTAACAACACCTGGCAATATACCTGTGTGTACACTAACAACACCTGGCAATATACCTGTGTGTACACTAACAACACCTGGCAATATACCTGTGTGTACACTAACAACACCTGGCAATATACCTGTGTGTACACTAACAACACCTGGCAATATACCTGTGTGTACACTAACAACACCTGGCAATATACCTGTGTGTACACTAACAACACCTGGCAATATACCTGTGTGTACACTAACAACACCTGGCAATATACCTGTGTGTACACTAACAACACCTGGCAATATACCTGTGTGTACACTAACAACACCTGGCAATATACCTGTGTGTACACTAACAACACCTGGCAATATACCTGTGTGTACACTAACAACACCTGGCAATATACCTGTGTGTACACTAACAACACCTGGCAATATACCTGTGTGTACACTAACAACACCTGGCAATATACCTGTGTGTACACTAACAACACCTGGCAATATACCTGTGTGTACACTAACAACACCTGGCAATATACCTGTGTGTACACTAACAACACCTGGCAATATACCTGTGTGTACACTAACAACACCTGGCAATATACCTGTGTGTACACTAACAACACCTGGCAATATACCTGTGTGTACACTAACAACACCTGGCAATATACCTGTGTGTACACTAACAACACCTGGCAATATACCTGTGTGTACACTAACAACACCTGGCAATATACCTGTGTGTACACTAACAACACCTGGCAATATACCTGTGTGTACACTAACAACACCTGGCAATATACCTGTGTGTACACTAACAACACCTGGCAATATACCTGTGTGTACACTAACAACACCTGGCAATATACCTGTGTGTACACTAACAACACCTGGCAATATACCTGTGTGTACACTAACAACACCTGGCAATATACCTGTGTGTACACTAACAACACCTGGCAATATACCTGTGTGTACACTAACAACACCTGGCAATATACCTGTGTGTACACTAACAACACCTGACAATATACCTGTGTGTACACTAACAACACCTGGCAATATACCTGTGTGTACAATAACAACACCTGGCAATATACCTGTGTGTACACTAACAACACCTGGCAATATACCTGTGTGTACAATAATACCTGTGTGTACAATAATAATACCTGACAATATACCAGTGTGTACAATAACAATACCAGCCAATATACCTGTGTGTACAATAACAATATCAGACAATATACCTGTGTGTACAATAATACCAGACAATATACCTGTGTGTACAATAATACCTGTGTTAACAATAATATCAGCTAACGATATACTTACCTGAAGAGTCCTGCGATTATGTCGCTCAATGTTTTTTAAGTCTTTATATACTCGTAAAAGGTGTTTACACAGAGACTGAAAGTAGTCCTTCATTAGATTTCTACAGGCCTTCTGTTTCTCAGGCTGCAGCATCTATAGAGATTGAAACACTTAGCATCAGAGCAGCAATCTACCATATTTATTATTTCACTTCAGGAAAATTGAATTCAGGTTCATTAATTAGGAAAACAATTTAATATATTCAAAGTCCAAGAAAATTGATAAAATAACTGAAACTCCAAAACATCTTCAGTTTTTTTTATACAGTCACCATCAAATATGTGCTTTCAGTTTAATATTTGGAACAGTATTGTTAAAACATTTAATTTCTATTTTGTTACATGACGTTTATTAGTAGAATCATACAAACAACATAAACATAGAATAACTAAAATTGGCTTGACATATGGTTTGTGGTAATTACACCAACAAATTATCAAAAACTTCAATCTGTCATGAAATCATTCTTACCTGACTTCCAGGTATTTCAAGTGAATACTTTTCAGCAAGCAATCTATTGGTGAAAAAGAAAAGAGAAAAATTTACGTCATTGAAACTGAACCAAACTTGCATTATTTCAAATAGGTCACATCTATTACTAGTATCATTTTCTTCAAAACCTATTGTTTTTTAACTGAATTTCACCTGACTGTACGTGATAAATGACCTAAGTATGTATTTGATTATCTTTAAGAGGTAAAATACCTTCTTGTTCAATACTCGCCAACATCATAATTAAACAAAAGTGTATTTTTTACCTACAAGATCAATGAAAACAAATGATATTCTCTTAATATTTTGAATAATGTTTCTTGAGTCAAAGCAAACATTTTTCTATACTGGAGATCAAAATAACTTAAGTTGGTTTTTCAAAATCTGTTGTTTCTCTTATCTTCAATCTTTGCATGAGTTTAAAGTATATATTTTTTTTTACAGGTTGGCCCATTTGGGGTAATACATACAGAAACTAAAATGGAATGAAAGTAACTCAATGAGGAATAAGGATAAATAACCAGAGAATGAGAACTACCAAGAAAAAATTTGAATAAATTTGTAAACATGACCCTGGACTGCAGGTCATGTTGATATTATAGCTGTGTTAGTACCTGGACAGGTTATGTTGATATCATAGCTGTGTTAGTACCTGGACAGGTCATGTTGATATCATAGCTGTACTAGTACCTGGACAGGTAATGTTGATATTATAGCTGTGTTAGTACCTGGACAGGTAATGTTGATATCATAGCTGTGTTAGTATCTGGACAGGTAATGTTGATATCATAGCTGTGTTAGTACCTGGACAGGTAATGTTGATATCATAGATGTACTAGTACCTGGACAGGTAATGTTGATATCATAGCTGTACTAGTACCTGGACAGGTAATGTTGATATCATAGCTGTGTTAGTACCTGGACAGGTAATGTTGATATCATAGCTGTGTTAGTACCTGGACAGGTAATGTTGATATCATAGCTGTGTTAGTACCTGGACAGGTAATGTTGATATCATAGCTGTGTTAGTACCTGGACAGGTAATGTTGATATCATAGCTGTGTTAGTACCTGGACAGGTAATGTTGATATCATAGCTGTGTTAGTACCTGGACAGGTAATGTTGATATCATAGCTGTGTTAGTACCTGGACAGGTAATGTTGATATCATAGCTGTGTTAGTACCTGGACAGGTAATGTTGATATCATAGCTGTGTTAGTACCTGGACAGGTAATGTTGATATCATAGCTGTGTTAGTACCTGGACAGGTAATGTTGATATCATAGCTGTGTTAGTACCTGGACAGGTAATGTTGATATCATAGCTGTGTTAGTACCTGGACAGGTAATGTTGATATCATAGCTGTGTTAGTACCTGGACAGGTAATGTTGATATCATAGCTGTGTTAGTACCTGGACAGGTAATGTTGATATCATAGCTGTGTTAGTACCTGGACAGGTAATGTTGATATCATAGCTGTGTTAGTACCTGGACAGGTAATGTTGATATCATAGCTGTGTTAGTACCTGGACAGGTAATGTTGATATCATAGCTGTGTTAGTACCTGGACAGGTAATGTTGATATCATAGCTGTGTTAGTACCTGGACAGGTAATGTTGATATCATAGCTGTGTTAGTACCTGGACAGGTAATGTTGATATCATAGCTGTGTTAGTACCTGGACAGGTAATGTTGATATCATAGCTGTGTTAGTACCTGGACAGGTAATGTTGATATCATAGCTGTGTTAGTACCTGGACAGGTAATGTTGATATCATAGCTGTGTTAGTACCTGGACAGGTAATGTTGATATCATAGCTGTGTTAGTACCTGGACAGGTAATGTTGATATCATAGCTGTGTTAGTACCTGGACAGGTAATGTTGATATTATAGCTGTGTTAGTACCTGGACAGGTAATGTTGATATTATAGCTGTGTTAGTACCTGGACAGGTAATGTTGATATCATAGCTGTACTAGTACCTGTCAGAATAATGAGGAGGACTAAGCAAGTAAACATTTATTCATGTTGTTGATTATCTGTGACCAAGAAAGCACAGTCACATGAACGTTTGGAATGTGTACATCACTACTACCAACACAGACCTAAATCCTGGTTATACAGGATCCTAACTATATTTCTGTGGTAACTTGCCTGTACTTCCTGGGGATGAGGCCCATGTAATCATCGCCACAGTGTTTACAGAAACTCGACAGGATGGTCAGATTGTTGTGTTCCTCATGGTCATTGTTGACCAGCTGCTCCAACTGTTTACCCACCACGACCAGACCCTCCTTCTTGGAGAACAATCCAACAGACACTAACTCCGCAAAAAAACGCAGGTCTACACGGTATTTGCTGGGATTACTTATCTAAATATCAACAAAAAATCAAAATGTTTTATTTCAATTTACCGTATTCAACAAATATTTGATATTTAGATGATGAAAAAACTATTGAAAATTAGTATTTTCCTCAAACAGTGAAGAGTAGAATTATTGAAAATTTAGAATACTAACTTTTTAGTAAATAATTAAGTTAGTGCAAAACAGTGAAACTTGCTTGATTATATATATTCAGTCATATATATACCTTATAGTGAACATAAGTTAAAAGACTGAAAAAGCATAACACCTTATCATCCTTCTTTCCGAGAAGGAACTTCTGTATGTTTTCCAGTAGAGCAGCAGGAAACTCATAATAGCGCTGGAACATGATGCTACTTATGTGGACTGCACAGGAAATATCTGACATTTTCAGCTTTGCTTCTGTAATGGAGGCGGCCTGAAAAAGAATAATAATATAGCACATTCTGCTGAATGCCAGTGTCATTTATCAGAGGAATCGATCTCCGAAATCCAAAGGATTCCGCTTTCAATATACATATCTTTTCTACAATGATGGACTACGTCATAACAAAATAAGGTACGCAAGTTATCTTTAACTACTTCTCTATCGCTTCACGCACTTGTGAATATATTCCTCCGCGCAATAAACTTGTGCTTTCCGATTCGTTAGAAAAACAAAAGTGTGTGGTCTTGCATATGTATTTCCATTGAATATATTGAAGTTCTACTTAAATGTACAGTGGAAGACATTCACAATTTCTGAAAATCTTTGGTTTAAGACATAATTTTACATCGATGACATCATCAGTTCCATCGATGGCTGGTTCACACTTACATGATCAGTAGCCTACTGAATTTTTACATGTAAATGAGCTAGTTTTTTCTTTCTCCCCCCCACCCCACC